AAATGCAGATTGGGATTGAAGGTGGGTTTGTTCTCCTCCTGGGAGAAAAAAATACAGTGTAAATTAAACGCTGAACTGTTCTGTTGTGGTTTGTTTTTCTTTCTGCCTCTTAGGGAGAAAACACGTTTTTTCTGGTGACCAACTTCATTAGTACAACGAAGCAAGCCCAAGGTACCTGTCCGGAGGTAAATAGTGCTGTGCTGTTTGTGAGCTCGGTGTTGTGATGGGATTACATTTTTAAGGCATACTAATGTGTCTATTTTTGTAGCAGAGCAGCAACTGTGCAAGAAAACTTGGTGCAAGACCAGATAGAAGGGAGGAGAAAATCTTATTAAAAAAAAAAAAATGGTTTTCCCTCATTGTCATTGCTCCATGTGCAAGGYATATGCGTCCAGGTAGACCAGCCACTTGCCTGTGGTAGCCTGAAGGACAAGGGGCACGAGCTATTGGGTCCTCCTGAGGTCTCTGGGGTTCTTGAGGGGTGATARAAGTGCATGATCTCTGCTGTTTTTCTGCTCTTTGGGGTTAAAGGCAGCTCAGGAGAGTTTGAGCTGTATTGCCCTGTTGTTACAGCGTGTTGTGGCCTTGGAGCCATCAGCACTCCTGTCTCCTCAGCACCTGCTATTGCCTTTCTGTTTACTATATACTATCTGTCTATATACTATCTATATACTATCTGTGGTCTCTGAACTTACTGTACCATTCTCTTTCCTCTATTTTGCAAATTTTTCCCGTTGCTTTTCCACACACCCAGTTTTGCTCATGCTCCATGGCCGTCTGTGTCCTCTTCCCTTTATATCTCCCTAATGCAGGACTCACCATCTTAGCATCTCCTTTTAGGAGAAAGGGAGCACGATGTATAGGCAGCTTGTACCACTAAGTCAGCAGACGCTTAGTGGTATATGTTTTCTGAGAGAGATCTTCCAACCGAGGCTGAATTCCAGCCAGCAGCTTGACTGATCTCCTGCGGACTGAGCACTGCTTAGCAAACAAAAATAAATGGGTTTTAAGCCAAACCAATATTGKCCCCTGATGGCTGAGCTGAGCACTGCGTGTCCTAATGGTCCCTGGGGCTTTCAGCGTGCCCGGCGTGATGCTGCCTCTGAGCTTGCTGTTCTGCTGCAGCTTCCCAGGCTCGGCTGCTCCYGACGCACAGGCTGCAGCTTGTGGAAGAGGGGGAGGATTTTCAGCTCTGAGGAAATGATACGAATGCTCCTTCCTGAAGCACTCAGAATTCCTAAACCACTGGTACTGGCAGAAACATTCCCAGCAGAAAGAAAATGCCCCATGARGCATTTCAGGGCTGTGACCCAGGCTGTCCCTGGCTTCTCTGGATGTTTGTTTTTCCTTTAGGGCAAGCTAAGAAGATAGAGAAATCGGAGTATTTCCATCTCATTGCAGCGCTCTCGCACGTCCCGGGGCTTTGCTCAGCACCGCTCCCCAGTAGCTGCGCAGTTCCTGGTTCCGAGGCACTGGCTGAAATCAGAGTTTGGAAAGGTTTGGAGGTTTAGCAGCGGCAGAAAGCTTTGATGTTCACAATTAGCAGCGTGTTCTGCTGGTATTTTCTGATTATCTTCTAATTTATCTGATATTTATCTTCTGATTTATCTTCTGATAAATCTTGGCTGGGTCTAGGGCAAGTTACACAAAAAGCTGCAGTTCATCCATAAGCATTTGGCTGCATAAATGCTCCTGGGTGATGCTGCAGTTGGCACTGTCTGACTGCAAGACCAAAGGGGACTTAGAGGGTAGTGGCTCTGGACTGAGCATAACCCAGGGCGGGTTGATTTAGCAGCTGATGTCTGCCTTGAGCATAGGTCTATGGCAGAGCTGAGAGAGCCCTGAGCACCCGGAGGTGTCAGTGTCTGAGAAGCAGCACTGTCACTCGGCATGTTTCTTGTCCTTCCCCCTTGGGAAGGGACTGCCCCACTCATCTGCCAATATCTGCTTTCTGGGTCCTTGGGTAGGCTGCCTCCTTGACCCGTGGATATGATGCAGGAAGAGGAAATCCTCTCATGAATCAGTGCTTCTTACAGCCCTGCCGTGGGTCCTGCAAGCTACGTGTGGCCCGCAGCATGAGGGTGAAGTTTTTAATTTCCCCTTTCTGGCTTGTGTTGCGCTCTGCTTAGTGCCTTTTCAGCCTTTTGCCAGGGTGGGTTTGGGGCTTTACAAGGTTTGCTGGGCCCTGCATGAGGGTCCTCCAGAGCCCAAGCCGTGACTTTTGCYGGTTCCAGCTAAAAGGGTCGTTCTGAGGCAGCCCTGGGGCTTCRTGCGCCAGGAGGAGTGGGGATGTGTGGAAGGCCCTGCCCCATGTGGGTGCCTCCCTCCACTGCCCGCACTGCGCCCAGGATGCTGCTTTGGATGTGACGGATGCCTGCAGTAAGTGGCTGCGCCGTGCAGATGGGAGCAGCAACGCAGAAATGTGGGTTAATGACCTCGAAGGTGTGGTGCCGYCAAGTAACAGCGCTGCCCTTGCGCTCTCCTCCTCGCCCTCGCGCTCTCCTCCTCACCCTCTCTCCCTCTTGCTTTCTCACTGCTCTCTACTAGAGCCCCTCTGTTCTAGATGGGATTTGCAGAGAAGATGCAGACTGTCCCATGGGAAACCCAGTGGTTCGTGGCAACGGTACTGGATGTTTTGCTAAAATAAAAAAAAAAATAATAATTTTGTGTGCCCATGCTTGCTAACAAACAGATGCATGGAGATGCCTAAACTGGCAGAATTCAGCATATTTGTAAGTGTGCATTGAAGGGCTCTGCAGAGGTTGCTCTTGGCTAAAAACTTAAAGCAACCTATCACTGCAGGGAAAGTTGGTACTAGTGGCAAAAGCTCCTGTCGGCAGCAAATAAAGAGGCTGGTTGTTTTTCATGTTGATTGCTCAAATCCAAACCAATATTMTTTGCAATTGGCAGGGTTTCCTTTTTTAATAAAACATGATTTATTTCACAGTGATTAATATAAGAAAGGAGGAGCTTTAGAAGGTCAGTTGCCAAAGCTTGGTATGCCAGACTCTCCAGCTTGTTACATGTCTAACYGGGGAGCAGGTGGCTTCAGCAGCAGAAGCTGCTGTGCTGGACAAAGAGGTGCTGAGCTGCTGAGAGACCATAGCCACAAGCAGCTTCTGGATTTAGTAAATCAGCCTCTGTTGTTCGGCCTTGGGGAGGGCTTCCTGGAGGAGTTTTGGGGAGGGGAAAACAGCGAGGATGGTGCTTGTGTTTCCTGGGAAGGTCAGAGCAGCAAGCAGGACCATGGCCAGGGCATTATCCCAGGAGGGAAGCTATAGAGAAGACACTGAGAAGTTAAAAGCTGTAAGTGAGATCGTCTTTTCATTGTCTTTTTTTTGTCCAGGGATAAAGACTGGGAAATGTGTGAAGTACAACACCACCCATTCCACCTGTGAGATCTACAGCTGGTGTCCTGTGGAGAATGGCACCCTGCCCAGGTATTGTCCAGGGTCGGAGGACAGCAGCGTCTGAAGAGGCTCTGAGGTTGCTGGTTCTCTTTGTGCAAGCAGTGTCCTGGTTCTGCTGGCYAGCAGGGATCTTTGACTTTGACCTGCTGATCAGTTAGGCCCAGAGAACTTCAGGCAAGAGCATTTCTCATAGTTAACYGCAGTAGTTTAAGACTTGGAGTCATGGAGAAGATTGCAGGGCAGGRAAATGGGCTATACCTTGGCCATTGTACAAATATGTGAGTTCATCAGTGATTGTTTTCTAGGAAACCTCTTCTGGCTGAGGCGGAGAATTTTACCCTTTTTATAAAAAACACTGTGCACTTCACCAAATTTAACTTCTCCAAGTAAGTATGAAGCTCCTCCTACTGGAACTGTGCATGCAACCTCGCCCAGTGTCTGTGCTGAGCTTGTCTGCTTAGATGCTGAGAAGCCTGGATGTCCAAGCATCAGGATCCCATCGAGGAGAGTCTTGGCTTTCAGTTAAGATTTCAGTGATGCATTCAGGGAGAACATGGTCTCTCTGACTGTGTCTGTAGTGATAAAGTGTTGGGACTTTGAAAGGCCCAGAGAGAGATTGTTGTTTCCACCTGTCTCGAGTACTATAAACTCGTGGCTTGAGTCATGCTAACTGAGCTGCTTTCCTCTGCCAGGAGGGCCTCAACTCCCCTTGAGCAGGAACTCTAGAGCTGGGTCATGTCTCACAGCAGTCACTGATGCTGTGGGAAGGAGATGCAGGGAGGAAAAAAGATGAAAGCCAAATGGAGAAGAATTGGGAGAGAAGGGAGCATGGCAGGCTGTGCTGGTAGGTGTTCAAAAGGGTGATGACTCCATCTGTGTTTCTTTCTGGGCCAAATTCCCTCCATCCTCCTGCAATCTGGGAACCAGAAGACACTTGTATTAAATGAATGTCCTTGGGCTGATGGGTGTCCGAGGACAAAGGAGACTGGAAAAGAAGGGATAGACCAAGCTCTGATACACCCAGTTCTAGAAGAAGTTGGCCAGACCTTGAGACAGACCTGTGTGTTCTGCACCCCACGTGGTCCCACTCTACAGGGACATCGGGAGAGGCAACGAGTGCCGTTTCTCAGCAGGAGCAATAGTGGTCCCGCTGCTTTGGGATGGTGGGAGCAGCGGGAGGTTGTCCTTTTGGGTCGTGCAGCAGCGTCCCGTGACCTCCCACATTCCCCAGTTCTTGTGACATACTCGCTGTCTCTTGTTTCAGGGACAACACTCTGCAAACCAATGATTCCACCTATTTCAAGAGCTGCAGGTATGATCCACTTATCAGCCCATCCTGCCCAGTCTTCCGCGTCCGTGACATGGTGGAGGCAGCTGGAGAGACCTTTGGGAATCTGGCGTTGCTGGTATTTTCTTTTCCTTTGGAAATACGGAGGTCTCTGCAACTTCCCCTAGGGCATGGCAGGGACAGGGTGGGTTTGTCCCCTGAAATACTAAGGGAATAACCCATTTTATCCACGTCAGTGGCTGTGAGTGCTTGAACAGTAAAGAACCTAACAAAACTCCAGTCCATTGCTTCCCTTTGAATAAAATGTGTGTTGATGTGCGGCAGGGTGGGTGCATTGGAGTTGACATCAAGTGGGACTGTGACCTGGATCACCCTGCTGCCCAGTGCCAGCCTCAGTACTCCTTCAACCTGCAGGACAGGAACTACAATTTCAGGTGCGGCACCAGCCTTGCTGCGATAGCAGCCACAGAGRTCCCTGGAAGAGGCGCTCGCCCAGAGATCATTTGAGATCTCGGTTTTCCTAAAAGGAAGATGATGCTGTGCAAGGAGCAGAGGCCCTGCTGCTGGTGCCCAGCAYGTGCGCCGTCCTTGTCCCTGCGTGCTGGAGGAAGCAAAGTGTGCACGGGCACCTGGTGTCCACAGGCACCAGGTTCCCAGGCTGCCAGCTCCCAAAGCCCCATCCTGCACCCTGCTTGCACAGAGCTGCAGCATCCTTTTGAACCTTGTCCTTTGTGTCTCCCTTAGAACTGCCACCTACTACTGGGATCACCAAAAAAGGCACTACCGGAGCCTGCTGAAGCTCTATGGAATCCGCTTTGACATCTCTGTGCATGGCCAGGTACTGTGCCCCGTTAGGTCCCCAAATGCACAGTCCTATATCTCCCTTGTCTTCAGAACTTGCTCCTCACTGCTGYACTGTCTCTTGAGGCTCCTTTGCCTCCTTCAGGCATTTTTTYCCCCTTACCTTGAGAAACTCCTCACCTCTTTCCAGAGTTTTACTTTCCTCAGGGCAGATTGGGGCAYCACAGAGAGCAGGAAGAAATAGTCTGTCCCATCTGAAATGGAAGTTCTTGGCAATGGCCTGAGCAATGAGGTTTCCCATGGCTGTGGAACATCTGACATGGTCAGGCACTGTGAGACATTAGACCCTGCAAGTAAGGCGAGCTAGTCTGGTCAGAGGGGCTTAGGGCACCTCTGAGCGACCAGTGTTGGCTGGGAACATACTGAAGAGCAAACCTAACTTTTCTGAACTTGAACAATGAATCCCTTCTTCATTAATTGCATCTCTGGGGAGGAAGGCACAGGCATAATCATGGCACATGCTATGTGCAGCATCACCGGCAAACTAAATACTGTGCCAGATGGGACCTGCACCAGAGGACTAGCTGGGCTTTCCGTAATTGATCTTTTCACCTGAAGAGAGATAAGCTTGAAAAGCAGGACTGCGTGCACACTTCTGGGTGCTGAGAATAGGACAGGCCTAGAGCAGAAGAAAGTAGCACCAAAAGACCCTTCTCTTTCCACCAGACTCATTTGGGCAGTGAGGAAGGCACATCACAACAGAAAGGTGTGTTTGCTGTTGTGCAGGATGCAGTTCCATGGAGTTGTTTGGAGCTTTGAGGTGGGATGGAATYTTTAGCCATGCCTGTAGTAGGAAGTGGCTCATCTGCCACTGAGCTTGAGCTGCCTGATTGCCCTCTTTGAACATGATAGCAGCCAACTACCTAAAACTGAGCATGGGGAAATGACCCTTGTTCCATCCAGCACTTCACTTTTGCCCATGACAGCAGACTCCAAGCAAGCTGGGCTTTCTGTCTTGACCGTCTCACTAGTGGTAGCTGCTCACTCTTTCCTTTTCCCCCACTGTTTTCCAACAGGCTGGGAAATTTGGCATCGTTCCTCTTGCCGTGAGCCTCGGCACCAGCCTCGCGCTCCTGGGAGCCGTGAGTACCACACGTGCCCTTTGCCTCTGATCCATGGGCTGGGACTTGCTGCCTACCTAGTGCCTGCTGGGGACTGGCAAGAGCGGTAGCTCCTGTTTGTGAACATCAGCAGGAGTGACACTAGTTACTGCCAGTAACTAGACACCAGTGCAAGGATCTGGAGAACTGTCAGGGTCAGAACGTGTCACCCAGGCCACGTGTCTTTGTCACCCTGTGGGTGCCACGTTTGCTGCATAGTCAGGGGAGGTAGGTGAGCACTGTCAGGGTGCTGCTGTCTGTTCTGCTTCAAATGAGACAAACAGACGTGGCATCCCAGATAACTGCTCACCCCCCTGGCTTGTGTGGCTGTGACAATGACACTGCACGACACCAGCCTGCACCCTTGGTCCTTACCCAGCAGCTCAGATGTTCACATTAACATCTCGTGCTACACTTGGGCCTGAGAGGTCCCAATGGGACTGCCTGGAGAGCGAGAAAGAGTAGAAAGCTCCCCCTTAGCACTCACCAGACGGTGGAGTTTGGCTCCAGGATGGAGTGGACTCGCCCAGGTGGGCTGGGTGCTGTGGGCTGAGGCCCTGGCTCTCATGTACCACGTCTCGCCACTGCCTGAGCCCACTTCTCACTGCTGTGCTTCATTTGTCCCTCTCCAGGTGACAGTGGTGTGTGATCTGGTTCTGCTTTACCTGGATTCAAAGGCTGACTTGTATTGGAAAGAGAAGTTTGAGGAGGTAAGGACAGGCTGCAGGGCCAGTGTAGAGAGCTGGAGGGGAGGGCTGTGAGGCGATCTGGTTATTCTGCTGTTTGTTTAAAACTCACTTCCCAAAATCTCTCATCTGCAGAGACCCAAGCAGAGTGCATCTCCTCCCTCTAACATCTTGGACTCTTTGACCAACTTCACTCAACCTGACATGGAAATTAAGCTCTCATAAGTTTAGTCCACAAATGAGTGGAAGAGAGTGACCTGGATGTGGTCCAGTTTGAGGGAAAAGCTGCATGATCTCAGTTTTCCTTTAAACAACAACAGGGAGCTCAAAGGGACATAGCCCATTGAGCTGAAGCTGAAAAGGAATGAGGCTTCCCGGAGTCTCCCGCACAGGAAAACTCACTATTTTAAAACTTTCTTACCTGTACCAGCTTCACAATAAAATTCATTCTTAGGACTGACCATAATCTGACCAGACCCTGGGTCAAAAAAGAGCAGCTGTTTTAGATGGTGTATTCATATTCTGGAGTTCCTATTCTAGATCAGCCTCATGTTTTGCTGGGATGTGTGATGTTAGTTTGAGCACTGCCCAGCCCAGGGGTCATAGTCAGAGCAGTGTATGTTGAGCAGGATTATRTATGTGGATGTATGCAGTGTATGTAAGAGCAGGATTACTGGGACTGAGCAGGGCTGAGCACACTTTACCACACCGTGCAAATATTGCCTGGTCATCACGGACCGTCTGACCAAGATTCCTCTCTGACCAAGTCTCTAGTATGCTAAACAGACTAACCAATGACCCTGTTCATTTTGCAGGTAAAACCCCCAAAAGATAAGGCAGAGGCCACAGCAGAGCCATGATGGGTTGGCTGAAGCATGCTGGGTTTTCAGCAATAAACACTGTTCCATGGAGGTAGATGTGATGGAAGCAACCTGAGCTGCAGCTGGAGGCTGCAAGCGCTGAGATCTGCCCTGTCTGGAGAAGCACCTGCATCAACAGAGGGTCTTGGCCAAAGGAGCACAAAGGCAACTGCGAGCCCGTCCTGCCAGCCCCTAGCACAGCGCAGAGCTCTGCAGCTCCCCGCACAGACCAGCCCGGGCCCCAGCGCGGCCGTCCCGCAGAGCTTGCTTGCGACGTGCCTGGTCTCTGCTCAAACACAAAGCGCTTTGCGCTGCTTCGCCCTCTGGTTTGTCCTGGAGGCTTGATTTCACGTGCAAAAGAGTGACAGAATGAAATACAGCTGTTCAGAAAGTGGGAGGGAGCTCTGCTTTGTCTCTACCCCTTCGCGGGGCCATCCTAAGGTTTGTGGCACTGCTCGTTCTTTGGGACTTCATGTCCTTTGCCTAGCCTGGTACAGGAAGGGCACCCACTACCACGAGTCCAGAAGGCACTGAGGTGTCCATCCCATATTGACCCATCCTGCTGCTCCCATCCCTACAGGGCCTGGGCTGGGCAAAACCACTTGTAACCATGACAGCTTCCCACAGCTTCCAGGTGGGATAGCACTTTGCAGAGCTTCATATGAACTACGGGGGAGCTTCCTGGGCACTGGAACATCCTTGGGACAATCCAAAGCATTCCCTTCTCCCCAGCGTGCAGGACAAGGTCCCCTGTGGTGTCGCAAGTGCTGGGGTGCATGAGTTGGAGTGGTTAGTGCAGCCAGTCTTGCTGGCTGTGTGGTCGCCCACCCAGTGCCACCTCGCAGTAGGTTTGCCTTTCTCCAGATGGGTGTCTGGCCATTTTTCTTTCAATAGCACTTACACCCCTTGCTTTTGCTTGTAACACTACAGGTGTTGAAGCAATGGCTGCCCAGCCCCCATGTCTGATCCTCTGCTCGGGGTTTGAGAGCTGGACTTAAGGTGGTGGCCYTGGGCAACCACCTTGCATGGTCCTGGCATGCAGAGGGCAGCCCAGTGGCTCCTACCCTGGCTTGGTTCCTGCATCCTGCAGGATCCCCATTCACCAAGGACAAGCACAGTCCCCAGGAGACCTTGAGCACCGCAGAGCCCCCCAACACCTTGTACCCGTTGGCTCTTCCACAGCAGCAGCTGTGGCTGCCCCTGCACACTGGGCACCCAGGCACGTCTGCCCCACGGGCAGCAGCCGGCCCCAGATGAGCACCCCGGGGTACAGCACAGGGACAGGCCAGGTCACCGCTCGCACTTGGGTTTTAGCCTGTGTGCAGGGAAACCCACAGGCCCTAGAGCTGCCCTGCTGCGAGAGACAGAACATGGAGATGTACCAGAGATCTCAGCACTGTTTAATGCTCCTAGCTCTTGGGAGGTCTCTCAGTAAGGCGATTCTGCCCTGTCCTATTGAAGGGCTGTTCCGAGAGCATCATCTGCCCTTGGTTTCCTGCCCCTTTCTGCCTCGGCTGTTGTGGCCTGTCCCCATCCATGAACTGCTGCAGGTGGAACTCTATCACCAGCTGCTTGGTCATTGTCCTCAGCGCAAGGAAGGCTGCCGGGATCTCAGAGACCAGGAATGCCAGGTAYGGGATGTGCACGGCCATCTCCAGGGGCAGCCGGATGATGTTGTTGTCCGTGAGCAGGAAAAGCAGGAGGGGGAGGTGGATGAGGACCGAGAGGAGGAGGAAGCCAGCGAGCTCAGGCACCTGCGGAAGCACAAGGTGGGACCAAAATGTCCTCTCTTGGGCACCACACCAGGGATGCYGGCTCAGGAAATGGAAGCACGAGGCGGGTGCGGAGCCCTGTCCGGAGGATGGGACATGGGCCGGGCAGAGGCTTCAGCAGGGTGGCCAAGCCCTGCTCCCGCTCGTGTAGGGTTGAGCCCCCTGCCTTGGGGCCAGGGGAGGCTTTTCTGGGAAACCGTCCACAGATACTGGCTTATGCAGTGGAGTGTCCTGCAACACCCTGTTCCTGCTTGGAGAGCTCCAGGCAGGTCCCAAGGAGGCACTGGMGGTGACAATAGTGCAAGCCCAGGCACAGGGGACACCCACCGCGCAGCACAGCCCGCCCTGTACAGCCCATCTCCCACCGCGCGGAGACGCCTCCTACCTTCTCCTGCAGGTTCCCTACGTAGCCGAGGAAGAGGCGGAGGCCTTCGCCCAGCGAGAGGATGAGGAAGGCGGCGAGCAGCAGCAGCTGGTAGTAGCGGGGCAGCAGGCCGTACTGCGGCAGGGAGCCCGTGGCCGCGCGGTGCCGGGGCACTGCGGGGCCCCGCTCCGCCCCGCGCCCAGGAGAGCCTCCTGCCCGCTGCAAATGGGCTACTCTGCTCACGAGGGTAAGGGTGGGTTGGGGGGACCTGGTACTTTTGGAGATGCCCCCCGGCCTGCCGCCCTCCCTTGGTGCAGCCCCTGCACCGCGGGCGAGGGCGGGCAAGGAGGCTGCTCCTGCCCGGCCTCCACGCGAGCCCCACATCCCGGTACCTTCTGCAGCAGCATCGTCCCCTCTGCCACGCACCACAGCGGGAAGTAGAAGGCGTTGAAGTAGAGCATCATCTGCAGGGGCAGGCTGGCCAGCACCTCACGCGCTACGCAGGGCCAAGGCGGAGGGTCAGCCCGCCCAAGGCCCCCTTCTCYCCAGGGACACCTCGCAGCTTGCAGCGGGACACGGAGATGTCCCTGGTGAGCTCTGGAGGAGCCCTGGCCACAGGGCAGCCCGGTGGCCACACCAAGTACCCCCAAACCTTCCTGCAGCACCATACCTGGGTGGCAGCTGTGGGCAGCCCTGCTGTCCTGGGTCTTGTTGCTGATGAACAGGGAGCTGCTGAGGGTGGTCAAGCCCCAGCGGATGTGGCGGGGCAGAGGAGTGTGCGCAGCCATGGGCAGCGCCGAGCTCTGCTCACTGCCAGCCCGGCCGATAGGATTAGCCAGAAGGCGATTAAGTAAATGACAACACGGGCTAATGCCTGGGGCCACCTGGGCATTGGCTACAGGGGGACAAGGCTGCTGTGAGCGGGGAGGAACACACAGGGACMGGGAAGCCTTCGGTGGGGACACCAAGCTCCTGCTGCCAGGGCACACCTGGTTGCTTTGGGGGGCACCGAGCCCAACCGAGACACCCCTCTCGGGCCAGCTGGTTCCACTGTGGCAGGCCAAGCTGCCCAGAGCTGACCCTCTCTTCTAAAATCCCTGTCCCTCTCTTCTAACATCCCTGGMTCCACGGGACACATTGGGCACCAAGTTGCTCTCTGTGTGAACTCATGGGTTTTGGATGTGGGGATTTCTGCAGATCCCCCCCAAATGCTGGCACTGATGGACCCAAGCGGGCTGTTCAGCTCTAGGGGTGCAACGTACATTCACTTCCCTGTCTTCTCCACGCAGAGCCTTATGGTGGCAGCATCACACCTTGTCCTGCCTTGTAGCCGGGTCTTCACTCGCTCAGCATCCCTACCGGAGATGCCCTTCACACCGGATCCAGGCTGATCCCACCCCTCCCGCAGGAAAAGAGCCAGATACAGGGTTTGGGCAAGGGACAGAGCAGGGAACAAACGGCAGCGCTGCCTAGTTGAAGTGGCCTTTATTGCCACGGCAGGAGCTGCCGCTGAGCCGCGCTGGAGCTGCGGGACACGCGGCGTCCCCCTCGCAGCCTCTCCCACCGCACGACGCCCTGCACTCCATCGGGGGTGATTATTGCTTACTGAGAAATGCCTGACGGGGCGGTGGGGCCGCCGGGGAGGGGACGGCGCCCGCCCGCCCCGTGCCCAACCGGCTCCTCTCCACCCCGCTGCCTCCCRCAGAAGCTGCTTGGGGGTGAGCAAGCGGGGAAGGTCATGCAGGGGTGGGATGAGCCGGGCGGCTCAGCCCAGGGCCGCTCGGACCCACCATGTGGCTGCCGAAGGGCAGGAGGGACTCGCCGTGCGGCCACCACGGGGCCAGGAGGGTGCCCACCGTCCCACGGGTCCTCAGGGTGCTCCTGGGGGATCCAGGGCGTCCCACGGGTCCTCAGGGCGCTCCTGGAGACCTGGCTGCCCATGGGACATACAGCTTAGAGTTCATGGCGGCCAGCAGAGCCTCCGGGCTGCTCGGCAGAAAGTCCGTCTCGATGTGGCAAGGCCGGCTGTGTTCTAGGGGATGCTGTTTTCCAGAATCCATGTTTCCAGTGGACAACTGTTTTAGCAGTGACATTGAGGTGACAATGACAGAAACAGGAAGTCTCAGTGCTCCCAGACGCAGAGCATTTCAACCCCCGGTGCTGTTCACCATGAGCTTCCCAGCTGCCAGGCCCAGTCCTGYTCCAGGACCTCCCCGGTGTCCCACGCAGCTCTGCTCAGCACCACTGCTCCCACCAAGTGGCATCCTCAGGGCTGTCCCCGTAGGGGCTCAGCTGCCCCTGAGGCAGGTAAAGGTGGAGAGGACTCTGTGCGTAAGGAGATGATTTAGCTAGAAGTGAAGTCTAGGCAAGGATCCTTCTGGTGGCCACAGCTGGTCCTAATCAATSAGCATCTCCTCAACATCCTCAAGCACCAACTCTGCTTCAGAGAAGACATCCAGACAGACCAGCTGCTGATGCACTCTGTGTCTAGGTCTTCTGCAGCAAATACTGAGAAAGACTATTTATTTTAAACACGGACCATAAAGGCCTAGGATTGTCAACTGATATGAGAAGACAAGAAAAAGAGAAGCCTTCTTTTTGATAAAAGCCAAAATGATGCTGTGGAGTTCACTGCCACAGGATGCCATGATGTTGGAGGGGCTCACAGAGCCTTTAGCTCAATTAATGATAAGGAGATGTTCGCCAGTGGCTTCTATGCACAAAGACACCACCTCTAGCTCAAGGCATATCTAAGCCTATGTATGTGGCCTATTTCTGAGACGGTTCCCTGTGCCTGGTCAGTGCTGATGACACCACAGCATGGCCATGGAGCTCAGATCAGACCAGGATCTCTCCTGTTTTTACTTAACAATCAAATAAAATAAAGAAATTAAAAAGAAATAAACTCTATGTTGAGCAAATTTCACAGGACATCTAAGCAGGTATGGAAAAAGTACTGCTTGCTCTAAGTATTGCTCTGTTATTAGATAAGGATGGAAGGATGGTGAGCTAATTAAGGATAATGGAATAACAGAAAGGTCCACTAGGTCCTTCTAGTCTATATTTAGGAAAGTCTGGACGGAACATCTAGARATTGCATTGGCAAGGAATTAATCTCTATTGCATTAGAGAAGGTATTGAACAACAAGCCGCAAGGCCAACCACCTCAAAACCTCAGAAGAGGCACCAAAAAAACACCTRTCTGGAGTCTGCTGGTCAGTGAACGTCAATGCGTTGAAAAGCAGCGCCCACCCAAGCAACTTGCTAGGAACAAAACCAAAAATAAGGTCAGACATTTGTGGACAAAGAGTGAAGTCTGGGAAACCACCCCTGAGAAGCAGCGATTTTTAACAACGGCTTGGGGCACTATAAATAAACATRTTGCTTAGTGCAATGCCATGGCTAGACATCTTGGAGGGTTCTTGGACGCACAGGAAGGAAACCCATGCAGAGTGCAGCAGGGGAGCGCAGTGGGCATGACCAAATGGGTCCAGCTCGTTCACAGGCTGAGGTGCAGAGAGGAAGCCAAGGCACGGACCAAACAGAGTGGCGCCGACACGGACCTGATGGAGAGCTCAGGGCTGGAAAGCTCAGGACCTACAGGCACCACCTAAGTGTGTGTGTGAACAGAGGGGGCATCTATGGGAGATGAGCAACCTWGAAAGCACCTGGGCATCCTGGCTAAAGCTGAACACAATGGGGCAAAATATCAGGGGAAGGTTGTTTGACCAGAATGAAGCATTTTTGAGGGTCCGGTCACAGGCCAGGGATGGACTCAGAACACAAATACATGGCAGAAGAACTTGGTGATGGCAGGAGGATCTCTAAGAAGCTGTTAGGTGCTTCAAAAAGGTTTAACCTGAGGCTAACGCTTATTTCCAACAGCATAGGCTATGGAAGACAACAGCTCGTCACAGATTAYGCAGCAAATTACAGCAGGCAATACAGAGAAGAAGAAATCACCGGCCTTCAGCTCTTGTAAAAAGATAAAGAGCAAATGGAGCAGGCCACTACCAGAGCACAGTTCTGGGAAGGCTGGAAGCCAGCAATTGGAGATGTTTGGGATAACATTAAATACTGTTGGCTGGCCAAAAGCAAAAAGAGAAAAACAAAAGGGTCTTAGAAGGATTTAAGCAGCATGATGGTAAAGGAAGCTGGTGATAACAAGTCAGAGGGAGGAATTACTCAAATGATGTTTGGGGGCTTTCTTTGGGCCAAAAAATGTCGTCTTCGTGCTAACTGGAGCATGGGCCTAGGTTCATATCTGGCCAGAGAAGCCAGAGGGCCCACACTAGTACTGCAGGGGACGGGGACATGTACATCTGCATCTTGGGGCCACAACCAAGTTTGTGACTCTGTGGGCCCAGCACTCACTGAAGGTCACAGTGCACAGGACAGGTCCTGGGTGCCCCGAGGAGGAGCCCCGCGGGGAGCTGCCGGCAGCTCAGCACGCTGCGAGCCCCACGTCCATCCCTGCCTCTGACCGCTTCTGCTCACACCGCCTGGGAACAGCCTTGAGGAGGGAACAGAAGAGTCCAACGGGAAGCATCACAAACAACTGGTGACACTGCTATCCAAGCCAACATCGTGGCATTTTGGAATAATAAGGAGGAGCTGGAGAGAGGAGACAAATGGACACCCTTCATGGAAGAGGCACAGACCCCACACAGTCCATCAACAAACCTCCTTGCTGAAAGGTATCACTGATGCCCTACACTGGGTAAAAAATTAACTGATAAGGAATAAACTTCTGGGTGCTGTCCAAGGGGGTTCTCCTACTACTCCCAGCCCCGGTGGCTGGCAGGGACAGGGCCTGGCACTGGCCAGACCCTCTTTTGGGCTAGGGGCAAGGCCTTTCTTCCAGTATGGGACAGAAAACGTGACAGCAGAGCACTGACGTGGAAAGCTGACATGAGAAATGCGGATTTGTCACTAGATGACAGGAAGAATAAATGACAAATGACAGAAGACAGCCAGAAATCCTCCTCCAGTCACTATTCTGCTATTTTTTCTTGAGCAACATTTCAGCAGCATGGTTGATTATTCAGGAATCCTTTAGGAAGACAGCAATTATGAGGCTGATTTGAAGGACGGGCACCAGCCCCATGAGCTGCAGTCCTGCCTAACAACACTCCTCCTTGGGCTCCACTGCCTCTGCAATGATGCTCGAGACCCATGGGCACTTGCAGGGCTGCTCTGTTGTCAAAGGCAGCAAAACTCAGGCTGGAACTGCACAAGCATAAATGAGGGGCCAGGGAGAACTGGGAAGCCTGACAATTGCTGATGTGCTTATGTAGCAGGAGATGGTGTGACTGGGTGATCAGGCCCCTGGAGAGGGCTCTGGGGTGGTGACACAGGGCCATGAAGAGACCACACGATGAACTGCAGGCGCCCTCGGCTTAGGCAGGGAGGCATCTGCACTGGGAGACAATGCAAGTGAGATGAGTAGTCTATAGCAGCCTTTTCCATTGGACCCCTTCAAAAATCTGGCAAAATCTCTACAAATCTTGGGAAGGAATTCCAGAGCATGCTGGCATGAGGTATGATGGGATGTACTGGAAGAAAGACATACTTTGAGAAGGAGATAATGTGCTTGGGAGCATGGACAGGACACGGGGAGCAATGAAAGGCACTAGTGCTGTTTATGGGGTCAACAGATGTGCTTGGGGTAGAGGCTCTCACCATGCCACCCAGAACATCTACTCTGCCTGGTATCCCAGGCGCTTCCCAGGCAGGACAGCGTGGAAGCAGGTACCCGCCTCCTCCCCTGGTGTCCCGCAGCTGGCAGAGGTCACAGCAGCACCCCACCAGCCATGCCTCACACATGCTGGCCGCAGCTGGTGATGCCCGTTGTCTCTACGGTCCTGCTTTCTCGTGTTCCCACAGGAATGCGAAAGGCAGAGCCGCAGCCGAGGCGGCCGCGGGGATGGAGGAGTCAGCAGCTATTTGCACGCAGACAGGAATTGCTAGAAGGTAACTGCTCAGTGAAAGCCACTGGGTTCATCCGAGTCCGAGAAGGGCAATGGCCCAGCTGCATTACCGGCATCTTGCCGTGGGATGCGGGGTGAGCCCCATGTCCTCAGGGGTGACTGCAGCATCAGGAGAGAGCAGCTGCATCCTGCACTAGGAGCCTTTTCCAGTCAGCCAGGACATATCTCCGGTTCTAGTGACAAAACCAGAACGACTGTCAGGTGTTTCCCCGCTCCCTCACAGTGAGATTAACCCACGCTATTTGGTGCTTTAGGATCTGCCACCATCACAGCATCCAGTGCAGGGCAGAACCAAGATCAGGTAGGGAAAGCAGCTCAGCAACCACCACTCCATTAGTGTCCAACATGTTACTAAAATGGGAAAAAGCATATATGTGGACACTGAATTCCACTTAAACCTGAGCTCCAATAGCACTCATTAACTTAAATCAACCCCTCCAGCACACAGCTTCCATGCAGGAATGGGAGACACTGCCCAAAGGCCTCTGGGCTGGGGGAAGAAGGGTGACTATCCCTGCATTCCTACCAATACACCCAGAACCCAGAACACCAAGYACCCAGAACGTACTTGCCATGACGAACAAACAGCCTAGGAGGTGCCAGTGCAGCAGGAAAGAGAGAAAGAGAGGACAGAGGGAGGTTAGGGTTAGGTGGCCGTGCTTCCCCTTCCTAAACGCAGAAGAGTTGCCCTCATGTCCCTGGTGCCTCTCCCAGGTGCTGCGCGCAGGTCTGAGCCGGGCTTACGGCTACCTGGGCCTGGCAGTGCGTCTCTCACGGGATGTCTTTAAAAAGTGGATTTCCTCCAAATGTGAAACAGAACTATTTTTAACATATGAAAATTCTTCCTCCCACGAGTCTTATTTCCACGCAAAAGGCTCCTTCCAGGATGTTATAAGCACCCCAGGGTCAACACATTTTCTGCACCTAGAGATACATTCTTTTCTTTGAGACATCTTAAAAAGAGAGGTTTTTTTTTTTTTTTTTTTTTTAAGTATTTTCCGTCCCTAATACATTGTTTTGTAAGTGTTTGGCCATGCTGGACTGAGTCAGGAGTTGATGTTATCCTAGGAGATAGGGGATCCTAGGGGCATGTCCCTTATGGGTTTCATGCATCCATGGGACTTTCTTTAGCACTGCCATGTGGAGCCTGTTTGGTACTGGTGCTTGTAGCAGCACAGAGGCCCTGAAGATGGGCACGCCAACTCCAGCCCCACTGCACAAGGGCTGCTAGGGAAGCTGAACAGGAAAAAAAACAGGAGAAATCAAGGATGATTAGCTCTGTTTAGAGTTAATGTTTAGCCTCTGAGCTCCTGCCAATCCCTGTTTGGGAAAGGAGGTYAATGTGTGTTTTTTTGTTGCAATCACTTGTTTTCACAAGCCAGAAAGCATCATATGAAGTAGCAACAAGAGGAGCTCACTGTTATGCACCAGTACCAGGATTTTTACACCTGCAGACCACATCTGCCCTCTGGCATGGAACAGGTCACCGTGCACAGGCCTCTGGGCAGCTGTAGGGGCTTGCACAGAGCGCAGTGAACAGAAGAGATCTGGATCTCCATGACAGTGTTCAAGACCCCTTCTCTTTGCAAACTGCGTGTGTAAATACAAGGGCCAGCAAACTGGGAAGGGGACAGCAAGTGGGATGGAGGACTGAGCAGAGCAGGCAGGGGGGCAGGAAGGGGAGATGCACACAGTGCTTGGAGTGGGGACTAGCGGACAGGAGGCTTGCCCTGCACACAGTAACCGGGCTCAGTGCCCAGTCGCTCAGTGCCACTGTTGGCTCCCCACAACAAGCCTACTTACTCTACGTCACGCTTTCGGATGGTCCTGCCAGCCGCCAGGACCTCGGCCACCTTGGACACGATGGGATCGTAGTTCATGCTGGCCACGGCCACCACCTCGTCGCTCCTAGGGCCAGGCAGAGCAGAGCAGTTAGGGTAGCCCCAGGTGGCCACTTCTCCCTTACCCAAAAGGAACATGCTGGAAAGAAGTGGGAAGTGGAGAAAAAGACCAGCGCTCCAAGGACAGGACCCATGCAGAGACACGAGCTCTGCTGTGATGACTCTAGTGGTGTGGGGATGGGAGGAGGGCTCTGAGCCATCGTTCTGGATGGGCCCCATTGTGTTCTCACTGGAGAGCCTGAGAGCACAAACAACTGCATGTGGCGTCCTGCATCCCAAGCAGTGAGGAACTCCTGGCTAGACAGTTTCTGCAGCCACCACAACAGATGAGGGAGCTGACATCAGGACCTCAGCCTACAATCTCAGAGGGATTTCATCGGCAGCAATGTGTCCCYGTCCAGCTCAGCATCATCCTCCAGGATCCCAGTGCTGATGGCAAAATAGAAGCTCAAAGGCTGAATGGGAAGCAAGTGGAGCAGAAGGAAAGAAGATGTAAAAATGCTGGAGGAGCTTTGGAAAAAGGTCATGAACCATAAGGCAAAATGAGAAGGGCAATTGCCACTTTGAGCTTGTTCCTACRCAGTAACAACAGGGAGCAGGAGACTGTGCTGTTTTAGCCCAGCTTTGCCTGGAAATCCACTTAGGTCCACGTGTGACTTCAGAAAATAAACATCCCTCATGACTGGTAAACACTGGAGGCAGATGCTGCAGTTCCCTGTGACATGCCCTGAACCTGTGGAGCTCGGGGACTTGCATACTGAGACACACTGCTTAAGTCAACTTGAGCATAAATCTTCAAAGACTGAACTTACGAGATGACTCATAATTAGATAACTGAATAGATAAACCATTTAAAGATCAGAAGTGTTTGGGAAAGATAATAATGTTATTTGGGCTGATATCCTTGAGTAAGTTGAAGAGCAGAAGAACCCACTGACAAGAACAAATTATATTCAATGCACTCCCAGAGAGCCTTGTGAGCAATGCAGTCAAGAGCTGCATGGAGGAACAAGAGTGTCATTCCCAACGGGGTAAGAGCAGAAGCTGGGAAGTTGTGCAGTCCTCTCTCCTGGCTGTCCCACAAAAACGCACAGCAACAACACTGCAGAAAGCTACTTATTTCTTAAGTCTTATGTTCTTAAATAAGCCCACTACAAATAAGTCAGAGCAAGTCTGAAAAAGCCAGTCTGACTTCTCTGGCACAAAGGGGAGCATGAAAGTGTAGTGAGGCCAGAATCTGGCATTCCTGTATCTGCACAGCCAGCCTTATTGCAAGAGTCTCCTGGCTCTGCTTTCTGGGAAGTAGCAATGAGAAGACATGAGGTACCTCTGCCCCATGCCTCTGGAGTATCTCCTTCTCCACAGATACTATAGTTCTTCCAGAACCTAGTCAAAACTAGSCCAGTGTCTTCCTGGAGCTGGACCAACACCAGCCACGTCCCTCCACAGGCTGGACCTGCAGGACCTGTGACATTGCGATGCTTGATGCCCTTTCTCTAACATAAATGAGGTCCTCGATGTCTCTCCATACACTACAGTCTTTCCAAGTTATGTTCTTATTCCACATGGCCTCAGTCTTGGATAATTCACCATTGCTTGACATCTTCAGTGCTCCCCACACAATAAGCAGATGAGGGTTGAGGACTTCCAAGAGGCTCTGCACTAACTCCCCTCCACATCCCACATTCTTGAAGGATCTGTATTTTCCTTCCTGTGTAATTTCCTGCATGTACCTTCTCTGTGGGCACTAAGGTTGTAAACTGACCTGCCAACAGATCTCTTCCTCCTCCTTCTGTCCTCTCCTCCAAACCCCATTTGTGCCTGAATGCAGGAGGCAAGCTGCACAGCAAACAGCTACAGCACTTCACCCAGCTGAGCAGCCTCAGCTTATTAGTTAATGCAGGACTTGGGCCTCACATCTAGCCTAGATGCTACTTAAAATTATATTCTATCCTCTATGCAGCCAYATGGAGATCATTCTTCTCCAACACACTAAATCAGCCCCCAGAAAGAGCATCCTGGCTGCAGTGGATGGCAAATGACATACTACAAACTTGATGACTATTGAATCTCAGAGTGATAATAAATCCCAGGAGACTCTCACATTTCATACCCAGGCAGACAAACAGTGCCCACTGATTAGATGCAGAGTTCTCATAGTTCTGCACTTCCCCAGTGCAGAGTCTCCAGCTGTACTGCTGCAGGAAGGGTAATGAAAGGGGAGGCTCTCTGCTCCCGAAGGGAAGCACAAAACTGTGAGAGGGAGACCTATCAAAACTACCATTCTGTGGAAAGGCATAAACCAGATATGCAATGGAGAGAAAACRAAGACATAAGACCACCAGCTTACCAGATAGGAAGCCTGAAGCCCAGTCAGAATGACTTATACAGCCAAAAAACATTTTCACTTCAATTCACCAGCAAGACAAAGATGAAGTGGTCTTTTTGTGGAATAACTTGCAGACTAGCGATCAGTAGGAACATCCTACATCACCAATGGCTTTTGAAGATCTTTTCTGACAGATAGAAGCTTGGGGGAGATACTTCTTTAAAGAGACATCAAGAGGTACCATTTCTAACGTGAAGATTTGGAGCAAATGGAAATCTTGGCCCATCTTCCCTTGGCCCAGGGAAGATGAAATACTGTGGATGAGTACCATGCCTAGAGTGTCCTCCCTTCCTCTGCAGGGCTAAATGCAATGGGAGTGGGCAGCTGTGAAGAAGGCAACCACAGCAATCCATGGGTCTCACAGTATCTCTGAGGTCTTAGGGACTGGGGTGACATTGGTTCTGAGCTGGTGAAGTGACCTCAGCAGCGCAAGGGGATAACTCTATCCTGCATACCCCCTTGCCTATGGCGCAGTGCTGATCCCTCAATAGCTCACAGCTGACTCTGAGTGGGGATAGTCAGCAGCTTTCTTCCTCAAATGCTGGGGAAAAAAAGAGAATTTTATTGTGAAATTGAATGCTAAAAGCAGGGCCCAGGAATGAGAACCACAAGCATTTCATGCAGCGACTGAGACAGCACACATCACAAGAAAAAGAGGCCCTTCCAAATCACCARTTGGGTATGGCCTTCCCAGTGGCCAAGGAAGACAGCAGAAGATGGCCAGTTAGGGATAGCATCCTCAGTCCCAAAGCCTCAAGATGAAGCAGCAGAATTATCACCAAATTGAAAAGGAAGAAATGATCCCAGTTGCCTCTCAGAGCTGCAAAGATTGGTCCTTGATTGCCACYGCAAAGCAGCAGGAGAGAAGGCAACCTGAGTTCTCAGCCACCGTCCCCGAGAGCCAGCGCTTCCCAACATTACCTCAGGGTCTCTACGCAGGATGTCATCCTATCATAGAAGAGCCATCTCCTGGAGGCCCTCCTGGGTGGCAGAACAACACACAGCACTTAGGCGCAGACCCCTGCCCACCGGTGCCAGGGAGTCTCCCGCGAACGCCGCTCTCTCGCGCCGGCACCTCTCACCCCGGTGACAATCTCGTCGTCAACCCGGGGCCTCCCGGGTTGAGCAGCCCAGGCCACGCGAGGCACCGCTCCTCCCAGCACGCTGAGAATTATCCACGTTGCTCAGAGCCCTCATTTTGAAAGGGCTCTGCAGATGTTTAATTAAAAGGACTTGATACTTCCTCTCTAATTAGCATTGGGACAAGTGTGTAAATCTGTTCTGCTCTTTTGCTGGAAAGGAAGAATAGGAAGATGCTTCTAAGAAGATTTTATGCTAGAAATGCACGTGGCCCAGTGCAGCTCTCCCATGCCCAGCCCCATAATGCTGCATTTGCTGCAGGCAGCTGACGGCAGCACAAGGGCTGCAGAGAATTTAGGAGGGGACATGTGGGACAGGCATGGGCTGTGAACAGCTAAAGCAAATGCAACTCTGCAAACTACCAAAACAAGACTGTTAAAAATGGTTTTTAATCTTCCTCGGACTCCTCATATCACTGAGGAACAGCTTTGCGTTTCTAAATGTCACTTATGCAGTTCAAAATCTCAGGTGGGGATCCCAGCCTCATGGCTATGTCCATGGAGAGGCAAATATCCCTCCGCATCACCTCGCTCATCCGCAGGCTTCTGTCTTGGTACAAACCCCCCCTTCCTTCCTGATGTTTCTACTGGCTTTTGCCCAACCACTGATGCCAGGCACCATAAACCTCTTCCTCTTTCTTCCCTGATTTCACTCTGATCATCTTTAATATTGGAAAGCACTTGAAAAAAATCCCATCATACTCCAGATACTAGAAGGTTCCTTGGTCCTGCTTTCAGAGCAGAGCAGAACAAAGACAAGAAAAGAATATAAAAGACCTTTTTTCCACTACATGTGTAGCATCTTTTTTTCCACTACATGTGTAACAAAAGCTCCTGGACTCTTGCTAGCCTTTGTATCTTGTGAAAAGACAGAAGAGTTTGCAGAGTTCAATTTGTTAAGCCAGAAACAGATAAAAAAGAAGTGATGTCTGACCTCACAGTCCAGCCCCAGTCACAAATCATTAACACAGTGATCAGCTGGGTAGGAAATCTTTGATGAGAATCACAAACAACAGCTTAATAGATGCCATTATTTGCTTTCAGACAAGAAATGAACAATGTGACTGCATCTGGCAGAGATACTATGTCCAAAGAACRGTTTAACTTCCTTTACACTTAGCACTTCCTTTCCCATCTATCCATTTCCCTTTCCCCCTTGCATTCAAATATTACATAATTTAATGGTTATTAACTGAATGAAAAGCATTTAAAATATTCTCCTGGAGCTCTTTTAACAATTTGTGGTAGGGGACCACATCTTCAAATCATTGCTGTCACCTGTAAGCGCAGCACCATTATTTCCCACAACAGGGAGCACGAGCTGAGACAGCCCATGAGAGGGGGCATGGGGCTTTCCCCCAGGCCACACAGCACCCTCTTCTGTGCACCCACACGTGCACCGAGCACCGCGTTGGGTCAGCGTGGGGATGGGGAGGAGCGCTCCGCACGGTGCTAAGCGGAGGATGGAGACAGACTGACTGGAAGAAGCTCCAGCAGAAACGTTTTCCAACCTAGCAGCACAAATTCGGATGAATGTGCATTTAGGGACGTGGAGGAGAGAAAAACTTACTTGGTATAAAACGCCACAAACTTCAGTTCATCTAAATCTCCTTGAATGACGACATCATCGAATCCTTCTCCGTGGCCTGAATGACAGAAAGCCAAGAAATGAGGCGTGTGTGTCACCTACACCCACCCATGCACACACAGAGCAGGTGAGCTTGTCTGCACTCTCATCGGTCGTCCCACAGTCRTCATTACATGGACTGCTCCTATAGCAGGTTCTGATTGTGACCTTTYAGCCCGCACTTCACCACCTGCCTCCTTTCCTTGTGTGGCACCATAAGGTAAAACCCCCGTCTGCTTCAGTGCAACCCCAGGGGAAAAGACTAGGCTACAAAACCTTCAATAGATTCAGACTCAGCACAGGACAAAGGGAAAAGGGATCAATTCACAAGATTACAAGAAAATTGCAAAGGCCTAAATTTCCATGGCAAATATCTTGTTCTAACTAAATATGTTTATGACATAGTCTGTGCAAAGAAAAWGAGCCTGGGTTCTCTGCTTCGGATTCAACCCTTGTCCAAAAACGTTTGATACAAAACTATGTGAAGAACAAGTCACCRTGCATTCCGTAAGAGATTAGGATGGGAAGAAACAGGTTTTGCCCTGACATTTGCAATGTTTCCCATCTAGAGGTCTGGAGTGATCCAGGATTTCTCAGCTCTGCATTTTTTTTTTTGCTGGGATGTTTTGCCTTGGACTAAGGAACACAAATGTGGCCAGCTGTGACCTTCCCCATCCCTCAAAATACAAAGAACCAAAAAGCAGAAAGCAGAGCTCCATCCCATTTGCCATTAGGATGAAATATTGTGCAATTGCTAAGGTGAAACGTGGCATTAAATGCAAATGCTGCTCTGCTTGTCCTGCTTGGCTATGGGGCCTCCAAAGCTTGGAGGAAAGGGGCAGGCCAGCAGCTTTCCAGGTAGCAACAGGGGATGGATCCTGGCAGACCAGTGAAGTCAGGACTCGGGGAAGGAGAGTTCTTTTCTACACTGGGCCTTGTGAAACAAAAATAAAGGATGTTTTTCAAGGTCTTTCTGTGCCATTTGATAAGACTGGAGCAAGAGGCATTGGAAAGTTGATCCATGCTTGTGAATGTCAGAGAAGTTACCAAAACCATTAAGTGTTAGCAAGGAAAATAGATTTGAGACAAAGGCTGGCTCAGAGAGGTCACAGCAGACAGAGCTGGGACTCCTATATCCCAGGACAACATCTCCAGCAACTCTGCAGCACATTTTGGGAGACCCTAGTCCATACTACAGCTCTAAATGGCCTCTTCCCTTGCTGCGGATTGTGAGAGCAGAGGAACATCTCCAAGGCCCTCCCAGGCAAATCTAGACCCCCTTCATTTCCCACTGATGCCACGGGTAAGTCCCTGTGCCAGCCCCTGCATTTAACTTGGAGCCAGCTCTCCCAACTGCAGTTCAAGTCCTATCTACTCTCCCAGAGATGAAGATTAACCTTCACTGCCCTCCCTGTCTGAGTAGAGCCAGCCCCTCTACAGCTTCTAGGTTCACCTGTGCTCCTGTTCCCTGCGCTGTTCAGACATCTCATCCTAAACACGGTGCACTGGCTCCTCAGAGAAGCCTTGGGAAGGAGCTCTCAGAGCACAAGTGACTGTAAGGGCCTCTCTGGTTCAAAATCCCACTTGCTCTTACAGCTCGCATTACCAATCTCTTACCTGCATATCGGATGCTCTTTCCAAACATAGCAGTCCACAGATAAGGGACTGTGCTGATTTCCATGCCGTGGGCCAGCATGTTCAGAGCTGCTATCCTGCCTGGATAAAGTCAGAATAAAGAGAATGAACAAGGAAGTTCTGAGCAAGCACTATGGTCTGCACTGCACACTCAGAACAGTTCAGGCACCTTGGTATCAGTTTCTCTTGTCCCAATGTATATAAAACAAAATCTTTTGCTTGGTCTAGAAAGAAGAAACACAATAAGCATCTCTGAAAAGGTWGTATGCCTCATTCGCTTAGACTGGGCTTAGGGGAGCAGAGCACAGCTCTTACTGACTTGCCAGCTTCGTTTGCAAGAAACCTGCTTTATCAAGAACAGCTTTTTGTAAGCCCATCTCAACTTAGCTTTTGCAATGGTGACAAGCCTACATCTTGTTGGGCTCCACAAAGTGGGATGGATAAATCCTGTTTGGAGGCATGGAAACCACTATGGCACAGAGTCATTGCTACCCCAGATTAATGTTGACAACTAGGCATATGAAGAGCCACTACATAAGGAAACAGCATGACAAGCAGAATGCTGTGGGAATGAGCTCTTATTTGACGTCTTCATAGAKAGTGATGTAGTGTTTTGCTGTTCTAGTCATAAATGCACAGTTAAATCAGTATTCAGCTGAGTTGTGTGTTCTAAGGGCACATCAACTTTGGACGTGTGGTTCCAAAACTCGCACCCAGAGCACCTGTAGAAAAGCTACCACCATCACAGTGTTGGGGACTTGGAATGCTCCAGGGCAGGCATCTACACCAGGGCCCCCAGGCTTGCTGTTGTGAGGGCAGAAAGGTCTCGAATCAGCTGCAACAGGTGCCTTGGTCATCCCCACAACTCCGGGCATTCCTGGTCCCCAGCCCTGGCAGCCACTGGGGAAAGCAYGTGTGTGTCTCTACCAAATGATCGTTAGCCAAGGCACAAAGGCTCTGCACATTGAGATGTATGACAAGTACGGTGAAAATGGACAGGATAAAATATACATTACAAGATGTTCTGTGTAAATTCCCAGTTTCCCTGTTCTCAAATGTTTCCTTCTCTTGTTAAAGAGGCTTGAAATTTTCCGGAGGTTTGGAAAAGGCTCTTGCCCCTAAGCAATTTGCTGCTGTAAACCTGAAGGGACAGAAAAGCACCTACCATGCATATGGGCCATCTGCCAGTGAGGGACATTCACTTTCTTATTATTCCGAAGGGCCAAGGGGAAGGTGACAGCATCACCCGCGGCGAAGACCCCTGGGATGTTGGTTTGCATCATCTGAAGGAGGGAAGGAGAAGGACACATCGCTGGGGCACCTGCTGCACTGGGCTCCACAAGAGCAGTGGAAAATTCCTCCTGCATGTCCTCATGTTGGGTGCTACCCACCACGTGGCCCCAAGGGGAGGCTGCCTGCAGCTCCGGGCACACCACCAAGCTCACCTTGTTGACCACAATGAAGCCTTTGGAGTCAATGTTGATGCCACTCTGCTTGAGAAACCCTGTTGCTGGGACTGCCCCTGCAGGAGAAGACAAAGCGGATGGCGTGAGCAATACCTCAGAATCCCAGCACTGCATCCTGCATCAGCATGGATTACAGCAGGACAAGGAGCTGCCTCCAAGCCTCACAAAAGTGAGGTGTTCCTCCATAATCGCCCCACCTTTACAAAGGTGTTCCTCCACAATTGCTGTTCTGGGTCTAAGGAGGTGCTATTGAGGATGGATTTGTTCAGCTAATTGAACAATTTTTACTTCTGGTAGAGCTACTATGGCCAAATACCTATTTTCCTGCTACTAGAAGAACAGTAAGGTTTGACCTGCCAGGTTGGCCAGGGTTAAACTTGTGAGGGTACCTGAGATGGCCTTTCCTGCCACTGCCCTGCCTCCACACTGGGGGTGTTTGCAGCTCCTGACATTGGAGAGTCTCATTCATGGTCTGTCCTCTGCATAATTACCTGACTAATGAGCAATGGTAACAAAGCTCTAGGATCCATTAATTTACAGATTGCACATCCCAGATAATGAACCTTACTGCTCTTGAAGTTATGCCCGCATAATCTGCTCAYCACATATCTCTAATGCTCAAGAGTAATTTTAAAACCATTATTCTTTCTTAGACATTTTGGAAAAAAATAAATCAAATTAGTCCCCTTGTTTTCAAAGGCCTCTCCAACAATCTTCTCCTTTTTCTCATCATTCTTCATTTGCATTTCTTTTCTTTAGCTTTCAAAAATCCTTCTGCTTTGGAACAAAAAGAATATAACAACAGAACAAAATAACAACAAAAGAATATGAAGAGAACAGTAGTATTATTCAGTGGTTCTTCCAAAGTTTGCARTGTTCTTCAAAGTAACAGTGAAAAGGGGATTTTTTTTCCCCCGAGTGTAAAGGAGAAAACTAACTTATTCTAAGCAGTGGCAGCATTAAAATAAAAGGGAGAAATATGCAAAAATTTCAATATGAGAGGCCTTTAAAAAAAAAAAAGAAGAAAAGAAAGAGAGAGAGAGAGAGAGAGAGAGAGAGAGAGAGAGAGAGAGAGAAGAAGTTGAAATTATTTTTTTTTCTTGAAAAAAAAACCAAAAAGAAAAAAGAAGGCATTTTTTGGTCTTTCTACACAAATACAATCATATCACAGAAACTGGTGACTAGCACATCTCCACTGGCTTATTTCAATGACCACAGATGGGGGATGAACCATTAGTGGCAAGTCTCCACCTTCATTTATTTATATTTTCATTCTCTACCAGTTTTGGTGGCAAAGTAAAGCAGGTTCCAGCAGTGCTGTCCCAGCTGGAGTTAGTGTCCCACTTCCCCATCCCAGCCCCACTGGTCCCCTTACCTATGCCGACGACACAAACATCGGCACGTAGAACCTTCCCGCTCTTCAGGACAACCTCCTTCAGCTTTATGAGAGAGAGGTGAAAATTACATTTATTTTTGGGACAAAAAAAAAGAGGAAAAATCCTTAGCAGCAGCCAGCTAAGCTGGAATCTTCCGTCCTCCCTCCAAATGACTCCTGGCATTGCTGCGCTGTCTGGCCCCGCTGATGCCAAGCTCATGGAGACCATCAGTGTTGGTCTTTGGCCTATGTGGCCGCTTGCCCCATTCCCTGCTGCAGACCCACTATGGACGCAAAGCTTCTGCTTCACCCCCTCCTGCCCATCTTCACTCCCAGCTTGTGGCACAGGYTGATGCACAACGTGGAGCCTCCACKCTCCCACYCAGCCACAAGTTCCGTCCAGGACCATACCTTGCCCTCCTGCTCCCGCAGCTCTGACACCTCCGTCTGCATGTAGAACTTCACCCTGTTGTTCTCAAACATCTGGGTGAGGAGAGGACATCACAGATCAAAACGACCTGACTTGGTGTCTCTGAACTGCTACCCGTCTCTGCAATGCTATTCCCACCCTTTGGATTCACTTCCACTCACACTGGGAAGAGGCTTTTCATGCACCTCTGTCCCACACAGAAAGGAGGAGTTTGTTTACAGCAAGCAGGCCACAAGAGGGAAGACACAGACTATCCTKCTTTCTAGTGATAATTACTGTGGAGCACCTTCACAGCTTCATTAACAAATCAACTCATCAAATAAGCACATCCACAAACGCAATAAATCAAACATGCACAAACCACACAGTCTCTCATCTATCATCAGAACCATCCCTGGTACAGGAATGCAAAGTCACCTTCATGACAGCACGGCCAACCCTCTCCCCAAAGAACTTCTTGAAGGGAACTTCCTCCAGCTCCACCACGGACACGGAATGGGCCCGCTCTGTGAGATAGGCGGCCACTTCCATCCCTGGGAAACAGAAGTATGTCCAAGTGGCTATGGGTGCCTCTCCCAGCACTGGCCCAGGACTGCTGAGGGACACAGCTGGTAATGGGAGAACATCCCTTTGCTCTCTCTTGGCCTGAGAAGCTGGACTTGCTCTATTTGGACAGCTAGAGTGTAATTAGAGTGAAGAGAAACCAAGCTCACTCGCTGTGCGCAGCTTTGAGGTGGCAACTTCAAACAGGGCAATGCCAAACTGCGAAGGGTGCTGGGGAAAATTGCAATACCCTTATGGTAGAGAACAAAGCCCAGCTCAGGCTACACGTCTACCTTCTGCTCTGCTACACCAGGGAAGGTGGTTCCCACCCTGCAGTTTGAAGTAGAGGGACAGGAACCGGCTGAAGGTTTAGGTAAAGCTTCGAACTCTGCTAACTATGCGACTATAAGGAAAACTATCCTGACAAGTCTGAAAAAAGAGCCACRTCTGAAGGACCCATCTGGGATGCAGGCAGAATCAAGGCAAAAGGAGAGCTCACCGAGGAAGGAGGCTCCCACTATAACTACGTTCTTGCTAGTGGCAAGTTTCACCACGCGGTTGGCATCTTCTGGAGTTCGGATGTTAAACACGTTTTCCACTTCTTTGCCTTTACAACTGAGAGACTTTGGCCTGAAAAAAAGTGAACCAAAAAGACAACAAAAAAGAAAAAATGCACCCACAAATTAAAGGAAACTAAGTTCAGCACCCATTTCCCTTACCYAAACCCCTTCCTTGAGCCAACCAGTGCAGCAAGTTCAGCACAGCAGCCCCTGCCTCTGCTGAGCCACAGCCAGCTGTGCACAAGGGCCATGGCCAAAGGGTGGGATGCTCCTCTTGGGGACCAGATGCTGGTCTGAGGTTGGGCTCGTTCAAGGATCTTTTTTTTCCCTCTGTCTTCCAGATTTTCAAAGACATATATATATATACACACACATGTATATGCATATATACGTTTGCATATATACATATATTTAGGCCTCTGAAGATGCAGATTCCACTCTGCATTCCTTGAGTCACTTAGCTATAATATTCACTGCCACTGTAATATTGTCATCTTGTCCTTCCCATGCATTTACTGGTACTTATGTATCTTTTAATAACCAGTCCCTCCACCCCCAAGTTGCATCTGAAAGAAAACGCCTCAATAATTTTGGTTCCCCTAAGAACATTCACCCAGCATTGCTGGAGCTTGTGCATAAGGACTTTGAGAGTATTTCTAAAGGTTTTAGTCCGCTTTTGAATCCTATTAGGTAGCTGGCAGACACAGCATTCTGCTGCAGCAGTCCACATCCCCAGGCAGGAGCCTTGAAGCAYGTGACGCTGTGATGGCTGCTGCTGACGTGTTGTGTAACAGGGGACCTGCTCTGATCATCTCGCAGGGCTGTCCCAGGCTTCTGCACATTGCATCTAATTAATTCAGGCAGCAGTTCCCAAAAGGAAGCAGCACCAGGCATTCCGAAGGACTGCTCAGTTATTTGCATCTCTTTGCAGCAATGACCTTGGGGAAAACATTTTGAGGAACACAATAAGTCTGGAGAAGCCAGTCTTAGTGTCCCTGTGTGTTACCTCTCCTGCAGCCATGGCCAGGCATGGGCTGGAGAGCTCCTGTCCTCCAGCACGACCGTTACGGTGCCTGTCAGGATGACACGAGTGGGGTTCATGCTCTCAGGGTGCGTTACCTGATCTGAACGACACAGAGGGGCTGCTCTGAGCATTAAAGCAACCCATCTGGGCTCCACAGCTCCGAGGGACCGACAAGACGGGGCTGCTGCTTCGTAGAGACCAGAGGGATGCCAGGAAAGAGGCAGGCAAGCCCAGGGGTAACTGGCTCCGTGCTCCGGATCTGCTCTCAGCAGCAGCCTTCTCCGAGGCAGAGCTGCTCAAGAGTTGGACTCAAGTGAGATTTAGTTGCAAAAACCGAAATAGGGGAAACACTCAAACGGTAGTCAGGTTCAAAGGCATTGCTGTAGAAACGCTCAGTTGTAGCCAAAACATTTGATATTTTCTGTGAAAATGTAATATTCAGAGAGGAACTGATATGAGTGTTTTCATTAAAGAAGATCGGGAGATGTCACCAATGCCAACATTTTCCCATTAAAATGGCAATTTTGACAAAACCCCTATTAAAAAGAAAYTAACAAACCAACCAGTCATTTCCAAGAGAGCAGGAATGATGCTAATCTCAAAGATTAGCTGCCTGGTTGAACTGAAAAGGAAACACTTATAACACTAGAAGCAGCAGCAGCAGCTTGTGCAAAGCAGGGTAGACAACCTAACACTCCATCTTARGAGACAGGAATCCTGCCCTTCAACYGCTTTATCTGAAAGTCATAGCTTCATTTGTAATATTTGCAGCTATTTCCTGGCAGAAGGGTTAAATGAGTTCAAATCATTTGACTTTTTTCTTTTTTTTCCCTCATGTTTTCAGAAGACACACAGTACCTTGTCCCTGCAAACTGCCCCATGGCTAAAACACTTCTCCTCCTTCTCTGTTCACTTATATTTTTCTCAAAAAACACCATGACGTGCACTCTGTGCCAGGGATACGTGTACAGTTACCTGAAAAGCTGCTGCTATTTTTTGTGAGCAAATCAAGTTTTAGTCTTGAAAACTTCACTCTTACGAGTGAAGAAAATTACCCTTATGAGTAATTCTCACCAAACAGATTCTGTTGTGTTGCAGTAACAGCAACATCTAAGTGAGTGCAAGAGAGGAGCATCAAGATCTGATTTTCACAGAAAAATTTCATTTCATGCCAAAATTAAAGATGGAGATTAGGGCAGATGTATTATTTGACTTTCAGCATTGTTTACTATTGAGAGGCAAAAAGAACAACAATATGCCAAAAATGACTGCTAAAAATATTCAGGATATCTTAATTATGGAGGTTTTTGTTATAAGAAAATATACTCAAGGTTCTGGGCATCAATTTTCCTCTCCCCATATTCTAAACAGGCTTTGAGGGCACATCCATCATTCCTCCTTGCATTCTGAAAGGTCTCAGTGGGAATTTTCCTTGGGTCCTTTTCAGAGTCCCTAGCCAGTCCCTAGGGGAAACAGCATTAGGGAGCTTGCTAGCTAATTATTCTACTTTGGGGATTTATTTCTATCACTTTCTTGAGGATCAGGGAAGACATAAACCCCAACTGCTCCCGTAGGCAATTTTTGTTAACACTATTTTGACCTTCACACCGATCATGAAACCTTCCAGACTCAGCCAGCCCCTTGTGCTGGTTACCTCCTTTCTGGGTGACTCTTGGATGATGCAAAGGATTTTCAGCCTTGGCTGAGCAAATATATCCAGCACAGCCATGCAGACATATCCAYAAAGTCCTTGCTTTTTCTGCAAAGATTCTTGCAAAAAAAAGGTTCCTGCTCCAGAATCAGTCACTAGGTTTGATCCCTCATCCCCAGGCACAAGCTCTTTGCTTTCTAAGATCAAACAGTTTCTCAGGATCTTTAAAAGGTTTTCTTGTAGCTTACGTGTTTCCGGTGGCTATCAGCAGTTTGTTATACTCCATCTTAAATCCATCCTTGAACACTGCTGTCTTGTTCTTGATATCCACAGCTGCAACCTGAAATCATTTCTGAATAATGTTAAGGGTGGAAATCTGAGATGTGTATTGTGATACCGAACACTGAGCCAGAAGTTGACCACTTCCATGGGCACTGTAGGTATGACAGGGCCCACCTCAGAGCACTCCAAGTTCCTCCTCTTGGCTTCTATACCCTGGCTYGCTAATCAGGGAAATGCATGCAAATACTTCATTTTTATTTTCTAATTTGAATTGCTTTCTTATTAATGAAAATCAGGGGGTAATTAGCATCTTCTAAAGCCTGGAAASTCTGTCCCTCTGCCTGCATTGCAAATGGGCACACTGAGAGTCACACTCCCTAAGCCATCATTCCTCCTTCTTGCCCATGGAGACTTCCTTTCCTACGGCACCCAAATGTCCCAAATCAGGAGGGACACATGCCAATGATCAGCCTCATGCCTCCTACCACACATGCTGCTCTGTTCCCACTCATTTACTTTTTATGGTAAGGACAAGGACAAACCTGTCATCTGCCCTCCTGTCAACATTTCTCTCGAGGCACCCAGAATGACACACCTTGGCCAGCTGTGGGGCAGGTGCTCAWGGTGCCCCTCTTTCAGGCTAGTTCCAGACCTTCTAAGCAAGCCTTCCTCCTCCTACTCTGCCTCTCCCTGACATCAGGTTGACAAAGCCAAGTGTTTACAAAGGACGAGGACTGACTGTTCTTGAAGTGAAAACTGGTGTTTTCCCTGACTGGTGTTGCAAGAACGTGTCCATCTCCTGGCACATCTGCCCTCGTGGTGGCAGCTACAATGATGAGATGCTGATTCCAAYTGGCTATGGACCCAAGAAAGTCTCATCAGGACATGGCAGGACTTTGTGCAACGGCAGCCTCCRTCTGACAGGACACTTGCATTTAAGTCCATCCAGGAGTAGGGCTGCTTCCTGCAGCAGGACAACTCAACATTTGAGGCAGCTATTCAAGTAAGTAGGGCATGAACTTTGATTGCACTTTGCCACAAGCTGAATCCCTAGGGCTGAGCAGAGACGATGGGACATCTCAGAGGGTCCCACAGCCAAACTCTGCTTTAGARCTGAGGAGTACAAGGCTTATCAGGCATACTGCAAAACACTGACAGATCTTTGCCTTGAACAGCATGGAGTGACCAACAGGAATTGCTGACTTGACTGCCAGGTGGGAACTGAAATGTGAGCTTTCTGTGGCACTATCTGTACCTTTTATCTCCTTTTACCTCCTTGCATCACCCCTGCAAAGTGGGATTGAAGCAGCAGGAGACACTCTCTGTGTATCTGCCTTGCACACCACTATTAACAATAGCAATATGAGCCCAAAACAGACACAACACATTGGGTTCATCTAACTCATCTTTAGGGGCCACRAATTTTTGAAGAACTCCTAGTATAAGGAAAATAATAGGAAGAGGTGTTTGAACACAGTTATCTGGATAAGAGGCGAGCTGGTCAAGCCAAACCCACACGCGAACACTCAGTGAATGGCAGGTGAGAAGTCACCATCACAGCGGAGTTTACATAGGATGTTCTTCCTGCCAACRTCCAATTGTGTTTGTGGTTTTGAACTACCTTAAGCAACATAAGCTCCTTAGCATAAGTGAGAAGAGGAACTCAGGGAGGCATATAACATTTCCACAACAGCAATCAGTACACCGAGAACATGGGCAGCTGCTACATTTTCCAAACACCACGTCTTTCTGTGTTAGAACTTGCAAAACATTCTGCAGGCACGGCAACACACAGTCTGCAGGCACACTGTGAAGGTTGTCCCATAGGAATGCTGCTCTCCTTACCTGCATTTCAGTCAAGACTTCRATGTCATACGTGCAGAAGAACTCTTTAGGGCGCAGGGCAATCTGCTCCGGGTGGGAATCCATCGACTGCAGAAAAAGCAGTTTGCCCATGAACAGGTGAAAAGGAGAGTGGTGAAATGCATGTTACCAACACATGCTAGCAATAGCCTTGAAATCAGTCCGAGCAGCAGCTGTTAAGAGATTTGCTTTATAGAGACTAGAATCAAAGCTGATTGAAATAAAAGTCCTCACGAACCACTGGGTCCAGCTGCTTTTCTGATAACTCAGTGCAGCAGTGGCACTGACCAGCTAAAGCAGAGTGAGTGCTACTGAATAACTGTAGCACTCATATATAGATATATAKAGAGAAGCAACATTTCACAGGGCTTTCAGCAGGATCATCTACCCACCCAGAYATGAGATTTGGGGTGGTCCATGAAAGACCAGAGCTGCAGGTATCAAGGGTTTCACCATGTGGCCCCAACTTCCCTTGGAACCAGGGGCTGAAGTGCTAGYTCCTTATCCCTGGAGATGGCTCGGTCAGGGACTAGGGGAGTGGGAGGCACAACAGTGCATGCACTTCATGTAACTTCAGATAACACTGAAGAGGGCAGTCTCTTAGGTCCTGAGGCAGATTTTAGTKGGTGCAAGATTACAGAGGTTTTACTGCAAATTCCTTCAACACCCAATGTTTAGCAAGAGAGGAACTTTCAACCCTTTGGAGCGGTGGTTCCCGTGCTGGTGTGCAGCAAGGGCAGAACACAGCAATACACAACTCATACGAGTTTCACTGCATTCCACTGCTCCAGCAACAGCAGCAAAGAAGTCGGCGTGCTGGGGAGCAGGTCATGGTCCAAAGGGCTGGAGGAGGAACACAGTCCTGAGGGACCTTGGRATGAACTGACAGCAGATGTTCAGCAAGGCAGAGGAAGGGCAATGCTGCAAGACGAGAAGTCCACTGGCTGCAGTTTTATGCATTCCCCTTTTCCTGACCCTTTCTAGGGTTAGTCCCGCTCACAACAGAATTAAGAAAAATATACTCTTTTTTTCTATTCTAGAAATACCTACAATTTTTTTAAGTAGACTTTACACACCTTCCAGAAGCAACTGCAGCCTGAGGTATTTAGTGAGGGGTTTAACAAGTTATTTACTTGTTGTGTGAGATGTTTTTACTGTTTAAGAGAGTTTCAGAGAGTTGCCTGGCTGGGACCATGACTGCAGCCTTCTCAGGGCTCACCTGCACAACTTTGGTGAACCCTCAATTCTGATTGATTCTGCTGTTCTTCACCTCAAGCATATCTCAATGGCTTGAATGCTTTCAAAAAGCCATGTGCATATTTGCATTCCTTTGACAGTCCCTTTGCCTTGGGGCTTGAAGCAGAGTTAAATGCTCTAGTTGTAGAGTACTGGTCYACAGAGAAGCATCCCTGCCTTAAGGGGGAATACCCACACTACCTCTTCTTATGTTACCTCTACACTTCAAAACCAAATGCTGCTGTTCAACATGAGTTACTGTCTGATATCGGGTCAGGTCCAGAAGGCAGTAATGAAAATGGTATTAGAAGATCATTCTGTCTCTGCAAATTGGCACACAAAAAGGGATGTATGCTGGAGAAACCCATATAATGCAATCAAGATATGATGATAATCAATAGYGTGAACACTTGGAGCAACACTGGACAGCAAGAACCATACTCTAATAAAAACTCGGCTAGACAATACTTTTCTTTTTGCTTAMGAAACCAAGTTTTACAAGCCCCATTACACTGCCCTAGAATTGTTTTTTCTAGAAACATAAGAGAAGTCAACTCATCCATCCAGGCATGAGATGTCTGAGCTAGCTGATATTGGACCTTGCAAAATGTCCTTGTTTCTGTCCTCGGTGAGCTCTTCGTTAAGAATTTGTACAATTCCTCTCTGGAGCTTCATCTTTCAGTCACTAACAGAACATTCAAGGGAAAAGAGGTGGAATGAATGAAGAAGAAGAAACATGTTGGTCCAACGAATAATGGCTGCATAAGGTCCTAGGTCAAATTTTAAAAATCAGGAGGAAAGTGACACACTCAAGGTGCTACCAACCTTGCTGAGCTTCGGTCTGTCGTAGGGCAAGTGTCTGTCCATCGTGCACATTACAATCCTGTCCGAGAAACCCTCCTGGCGCAAGGTCTCTGCACAGACTAATCCAGCAGCACCTAGGAGAAGACCAGTGTATGTTGTATTTGACAGACAAAAATACTTAAGTGCCAAGAACAACAATCCTGACACAGTTGGGTGACAGGAAGTGAAAAATGTCATTCTGGGTCTGAAACAGAGCTTGATAGCTTAGAAAAATATAAGATACGGAACTGCACCTGCAGAGGACTAGAGTCAGCAGGTTTGGTGGACCTTTGTCCTGTACGTCCATGGGTCTGAATCCTTTGTCCCTTATATCTAGCATCCCACAGAGAGGCTGATTCAAAAATCACTGCTTCTGTAAGTTCTGACCTTTCTTTATGGTGCTTCCTAAGTCAGTGGCACATGGCTGCTTCTAAAGAAGGGACGCAGCCCTTGAGACTGTATMTCCATGTTCAAGGCAGGAGAGGAATCCTCTGTCCATGCAAATGTTACATTAATCATCTATGGGACTTCTTCAGTAGATGCTCAAACTATTACATTACTCTTGCTTGAAAAGAGTCATTCACCTATAGCCTTTTCCTCTGCACCTTAGCAGTCCTTGTCCCTCAGCTTGAACATAAAGCCACATCTCTACAATGTGGCAGAACCAAGACACCAAACAAAACGGTCCCTAGTTCTTCCAGTATTTTTTTTTCCAGAATCATTTGTTGACCAAGTCCCTGATGAGCCAAATACCAGAGCACAAACTTCTCCAACAGCCTCAGTGGCAAAGGGCAAGCAGGTGACTCTTGATAGCTTCCCTTTTACATATTTTACTATCACTAAAATGGGCCCAGACCTTCCACCACAGCCTTCATGCAGGCTGTGCTGATCACACACTTTCCTACAGAAGATTTTGTATGCAATTGCTTGCCAGTGGAAGAGAGGTTGTCATTAAACACAGCAAAAAAGGTGAGATGCGAGCCTGATCTCTAACACTGCTCTATGAAGGAGAGGTGTGAAACAGAGGTGTGAAGGTGCCATTCAACTAAGTGGCTACCTGAGAGGTTGCCATCCCATCTGCAACCAAGCAGCCTGATGTGGCACAGCCTTTCTTACCTGGCCAAACAGATGAGATATAAAGGGCCAAGTTAGTCTCTTTTCAGCCTACAAAGCCTTGTTCAACATCAAAGATTTAAAGAGCCACAGTTCTGGTAATACCAACAAAGAGAAGATGAAGTTGGACACTCTCTCCCGTTTTGGTTTGTCAACAACTTGCTCCTACTGCTGAAATCAAGGAATGGTGAGAGAAGAGAAAACGGGCTGTTTGTCTTGTGCATTTGCCTGGAGAACAGACTGAGCAGGGACTTACTCTGAACTGATTTCAGTATTGAATCACTAATGAACCCCTCTTGCCCATTCAAATTTTTGACAGTAAAGACCTCATCCGAATCCAAGTGGATTTTGACACAGATAATGGAAGGGGACATTTCTGAATCAAGTACTGCAGTGATGYAATTGATAGCTTTTGATGGCAAYTGATAGCAACCTACACCAGCGAGCTGTTGTTTGCAYTCAGCTCTTCTGGGCATGGTCACAGCTCCCTCTGTTCTCATCACTTCTTCCTCACGCACCCAGGTTTGAAATCTGCTTTCATGGTGTGACCAGAATTAAATACTGCTCTTTCAAAGAGCTGAAAATTTAGCTGTTCAAGCTTGAGAAAACTCTTTCAGTTACTGTTAACATTATCTTTTGGGTAACTTTGCTTAAGATTCTGATGGCTGCTCTCATTTAGCCACCTCTCCCTGCCACGAAAGGCTCAGCAATCTCAGAAATATTTCCACTATTAACAACTTCTCATTGCTTTGCATAGTACTTGTTAAATGCAAACTCCAGAGCTGATATAAGCACAATATCGGTTGTACAAGCTCTCAGTAGGGGAGAAGGACAGAGATCCTCCAAGGAATACAGCAGACAGACGCTCCCAAAGCCTAGTCCTCCAGCTTCGTAAACTTGGATTGCACTGAAGTGGTGAAAGAAGAAGTTTTATTAACGGTGCATTGGGACAGTGTAACTGCAATTTCAAAAGCAGCTGGAAGAAGGGCTAGACAAAAAGAAGGCCTGGCAACTGTGCTAYTCCTTTCAGGGATTTGTTGTTTACKGGGAAGATGGAAGAAGTRATCTTGAGATAAGCAGCCTGAAGTGAGAGCTTTGGAGTAGACAGCTGTGATGGGATTAGAGAGGTGTTCAGGCTCCAAAAGGCAAACCCTGTTCACATTCACATTTGAGAGGGATTTAAATGCAGCAATTGGAGAMATCGGGGGGTGAGTCATGTATCTAGAGAGTGTGTAGATAGAACAGTTAACTGCACCCATCATGAAGGGCTCTGCCAAGGAAGTACAAAGCTCCATAGGCCAGSAGCACAGGGACATCTTCAAAGGTCTATCAGTGTCCAGGTAAAAAAGCCCCAGGAATTTGCCCTGGTCTCATCTTTTGCTTAAGCCAGGCCAGGATGGGAGAAAGTGAATGGCACGCAGATACCAGGACAGACACCACGTTCTCTGCACAACCTCGGTGAGAGAGGGACACACACTGGTCTTTCAGCACACACCACCCAATACCTGCACCGATGATCAGCACATTGGTACTGCTCAGGTTATAGTTGCTCAAGGAGATGCACTTCGCCATCATCTTTGTCCTCCTCTGTGTCTGAAGAGCCTGTGCCATGATCAGTGAGAACAGTCATTATCCATTCACAACTTTCTTCTGTAGCGAGGTAGGAATGGGGACGACTACCAGTGCTGGTATAAAAGAGCTTGGGTAGAAAAGAACAACCAAATCCTTGCTGCCCAAGGAGATCTCCATGCTCAGTCAAATATTTTTTTCATGACTCAGTGTCCTATCCCCTTCCTCAGCACAAAAGAAAACTAAATCCACTGTCTTCTGCAAATTCATCCAGGGACAAAGCACTGGGAAAGAACACAAGAAAAGCAGCACAGGTATGTCACTGTGCAGTTCTCCAATCAACGGGGAAAATGAAAGTGCAGAAGTCCCATCAGGAACTTTATTTATCCTTCACCTGAGCAGAGCTGGTATATCTTTGATATTCAAAGAAGCGTATGTAAGGCAAAATTATGGACTCATCCAGCATACCTCATCCCACTATTCACCAGTATCAACTGGGACAGAAGWGCAAGTGCAAGACACATCTCTGGATCTAACCCCATAGCTGATGTTGTGCATCAGATTAGGCCATAGGTTTAAGCTGATAGATTTACACACACGTAAATGAAAATGTAAATCAGAACTAGACTCTTTATATAAAGGGAGATGAGGACACTGGCCTGACTGCACTTCATTCTGGATCACCTGTCACCACCCCAGTTTCCTTTAGAGCACACAGAGCTGTAGTGTGTGCTCAGGAGGGGTAGAGATGACCTCTGTCACCTCTRGTCTGCACCCAGCAGACCTGGCCCAAAGGCTGGTGAGAGAGGCTTGTTTCCATGGGCTAATTAAGCTAGAAGTTGCTACAGGCTCAAGGGAAGATAGGACAAGTTCATGGAAGAATTCTCCACTAAAACTTCCCGAACTCACAAATACCACCAACAGCTCAGGCGCTGCAGAGCGACAGTGTTTGGAGGCTAGGAGGGGAAAGAACATCACATGTGACCACCCTGTTCTCTTGCCTCAGTATGAGCTTTTGGTCGTTGTCTAGACAATATACTGGGCTAGGTGGAYGTTAGGTTTGCCCATTTTGGATGTTCTCACATCCTTCTGTTTAGTACCCCTGCTAAAGGGTCCAGCGTCCCCCAGCATGCACCCAGAAAAACTCACAGGCCTTGTGTTTGGGAAACCCGTGGCAGCTCTGACTCTCACCTGCTTGCTTGCTCGGATATACACCTTCTCCTTCTCAATCTTGACCTGAGGGCGACAGAACAGCAGCAGCTTGTAGGACAGTGAGTATCTCTGGTCTGAGGAGCATTAGTTTTCCTTCTGTGCAAAAACTATTGGAAAGAACAGTGGTCTTGCCAGTTCAGCCACACCACATGCCTTGTGGGAGAGCTCGAGAGGCCATCACAAGACTCACTTCAGCTCAAGACTCTGGCATATTTCCACCAATGCAATGTTGTTCAATAGGGGAGGATACAGCTTGCTTTACCAAATATCTATCTCAGGCTCACTGCTGATTACTCATCATCTCTRTATTTCTACATAAGAAACCTCCTAGACAGAACTTCAACTCTCAGCTTCCAAGGAACTGCCTGATGCCCACGGATGGACACAGGCAGAAAGGCAATGGAAGCTGCAGGGATGGGCGATACACTCACCACTTGCCATCTCACCATGTGCTTAGGAAATGTTTGCTCCACACCTTCACAGCTTGTTCACACCAAGACAAACAGACATTCTCTTTGCTGCAAGAAAGAAACCCTCACCTGGAATCTGGGTAAGCTGTCCAAGCCAGGAAAGTCCTCTATATCACCAGTGGTGATGTTGAAGCAAGCCCCATGCCAGGGACAGCGGACTCTTCCTTTGGACAAAACCCCTGCATGAAATATGGTAGAGCAGAGTTAGCACCTCCCTGTAGCTGCCGCCTCCTCTCCCTAGACTCTCCTGACACCTATCTGCAACGATCTGGCCACCCCATGGGAGGCAGAGATGCGGTCTCTCTCCTGCTGGCTCAGTGCTGGAGTGCTCCTAGGCTTATTCCCAATCTGAGTAGAGTTGTTKATGTAGCCTGACCACTCAAAGGATGGTCCCCTGTACTACTCCACCTCAGGAGCAATGGTATCACCCTGAGCTAACAGCTGCCTCAGTTAAAGCATAAATTAACTAGTGCCAGCATATTCCAGAACAGATCCTGACCTAGCAGAGTCTGGACCCACTAAGCAAGCAGAGGTCGTGTCTGAATGTTTGCCTCATTGTAAATGTCTCCAAGTGTTTGCTCAGAGGCTGCTACTTTGGACTTTGGAATTTGTGCCGGAAAGTTCTCCCAGGCAGAGTGACCTGCTACAATGCTGCCATGCTGGGTATGTCCCAAGTTTGCACCTTCATTTCTTGAGGTACAACATTGCCAAACCTCTTCATTCAACACACCTGGGGATGCAGCAAAGCCCCTATACTTATTTTTACAGCATTTCCTGGACTGCCCAGGAAAGATTCCTGCATAAGTGGCACTATTTCAGGGATCGATCTGCAGGATTCAGGCAGGCGGGTAGGTTCTTATCTTTTTTTGCCCCAGGAAAAGCTGTGTGGGGATCCTCTATCCTTGCCATCTGGCTGCTACCCCCAGTCAGAGATGTCTAACCAAGCTTGCGAGTAAGACAATTTAAATGCAGTCTTCCTGCTAGGAGGGCTGTGCAAGGAGGGGATCCCGAAGGATGCACTGGTCTGGAAAGTGGTCCTTTGGACCATACTCAGTAGGGATATGATAAATCACAGAAACACCTTCTGAAAAGCTGAGGCAATTGTCCTGTCATTCTTCTCCAGGGAAGGCTACTTTCTGTTTCACAGCAGCCTTTTCTCTATCTCAGATCTTGATTGTAAGAGACAGCTTGGCCAGCCTGGACATGCTCTGGACCTGTCTGAATGCCACCTAGAGCTGTCAACACCACTAGTTCTTGCTTTACACAGATGAGAAACTCTTCAATCAGCAGATCGGATTCCCAAAGAGCAAGCTCCTCAGACCAGCAAGCACCTGCACCCCTTGTTAAGTGAAGAGCTTCTCTGCTAAAGACCATCCCTTCAGCAAAGCACCACAGTTTTAGTGAGGTGATTGTCATGCACATAGCCAGGTTGACACCACCTGCTCCTGTTCCTCTGGGTTTTGGCTAGTAGTCTATTTGGCTTGAAGCCCATGAAGGCCATGGAAAAGTGCCACAATGCATATTCCTAAGCGACAAGGTGSTAAACCACTATATACCATCCCACTCTGATCAGTAAACCAGAGACATTTCTCTTTGTTACTGAAAATATCTCATCAATGCAAAGGGCTTCYTCCTTCCTCTGTGACCAGGATTTCATGCACAGTGGATTGTGGGTTTGTGTTCAAGACTGAACAGCCTGAAAAACTATAAAACCCAGAAGGTGATTCTTTTTCCTTTTTTAACAATTTTTTAACTTCCGTGGAAGAGAATCAATAAGGAAAAAAACATGTAAATCCTCACAAATAACAGCTTTTCTTGGAGACAATCTGCTGGGGTGGTTTCACACTCCTTGTGTTTCACACAAGGTTCCACTCCCACTTGAAGAAACAAATGGGAGCCAACTTCAATTATACCAGTGCAGTCCGTCTCTTCAAAGTTACTCAAGGAAACTTCAGCCCTGCTATTGAGGAGTGACAAATCGGTGTCATAAGCAAACCAACCTTGAGGCAAAATGCTTTCAGGAAGCCTCTGCACTGTCAGCTTTATGAATATGTGTTTCCCTCACCAAGAAGATGCCCGCCCAAAGCTGGTCCATGCCCTGGCAGCTCAGCTGGATGAATATAGGGTTGTCTTTTGCAGACATTTTGATTCCTGTTCTTCATCTCATACCAAGTGACACAGACTGACCTTTCACCAGTGGAGCCCCATAGTGAGGACATTTGTGCCCCATTGCATAGAATTCACCATTCTCCTTTATCAGCAGAGCCTTCCCACAGCCCAGGTCCACCTCTCGCATTCTGCAGAGAAAGAGCAAGGAAAAGTGAATTCATTCATTCCTGTTAAGTAATGAAAAGTAATCATTCCTGTTACATAACCAATTCTGAAAGTCCATCAGGGCTGCTTCCAACCTAGGCTTGATCCAAAGCTGGCTTACTAGAGTGACAGCTTCTCCACCTTACGGGCAGTATGTTTTTTTCCCCTCAGCACTCTCCTAAGAGGTAGCTCCAGGGCCCCTGAGTAGGGGTTGGTAGCTGGTTAGGAAGTGCCTGCTGGGTTCCTATAGGAGCTAGAAACSAAACTGTTTTTAGGGTGGTATTACATCTCTTCGTGGTGCAGGAGATGGGCTGCAGTAGCTCAGCAAATCCTTATCACACCTCTGTTCACCAAGCCATCATTTCTGAAATCAGAACATCGGGTAGTGCCCTGGAGAGGCATCTCAGGCTCCTTCCCACACTTAGGGTATGTCAGAGCCTTCCTCTTGCTATTTGCTGTCCACYGGCAAAGCCTGGGCTGCCCCTCCAACACACAGGAGGAGGTGCCAAGTTAAAAGGTCACGACTAAGCATGAGGCTGCTGAAATCTCAGTGCTTTACASACTCATGCTCTTTTAAATAAAGGTGACCCTGGTTCTGATCACGTCACGGTGTCCACAAAGGATGTCACATTTTTTTCTGTTAAAAATCTCAGGACAGCAAATACCTATACTTGACCCCATGGATAACACTGCAATTTTTGCTCTTTAAAGCTCACAAAATAACCTCCTTTTGTTGGCCCTTACTTGGCATTACAGCTATTCTTTCCATGCAGAGCCACACTTGCATTCACGTGAACTTCAGCACCACAGTTCTCCAGTACACAGTCAAGTGCTCTTTGAAAGCCTGCAACTATTTCTAATGATGCCCTAAATGAATCATCTGGACCTAAGTGTGATTAGCACAGCAGGAATCCTTTAAACACAAAATTTGCTATTTTCAGACCTTCTGAGCCACCCTCCCACACAAACACACTCGAGGGTATTCACCCGACTTTCTCTACAAGCCAAACCACGCTGAAGCTCTTGTCATCACAGCCCTGGCCAAAAGTGTGACTTTGTCATTCTATCTACAAGGACAGAAAAAGCTGCTACAGCATCTCCACCTCTCAAATTACTGATTAATAATGTAATAAAATGGCCCTTTCAAAAATCCTTTCTACCTCATACGGCTTGAGTGAGACAGTAGGARTTGATCTGTAAATCACCATTGGAGGACACCATTCAAAATAAAACAAATTCTGATCAAATTCCAAGAAACTTTTGGTTCCTTCCTCTCATCTTAGTTTACCTCAGATGATGGTAGCAGTTGATGATGCCTGGAATAGACCGTTTTCATTTTCACTTGGGTCCTAACCAAACAGCCTGGTTGTCCTTCAGTGGGGCCCAGCTGTGCCCCCTCACTGTCCTCGCTTCAGRCTGGCTGGCCATACACTTTGTGCAGCTAGAACAAGTATTTTTATTTGCAAGTCTTTCCAAGCCCTACAGACCATACACAGAAATGTTTTGGAGTAGGTTGTAGACAAATAACAAATTTAAACAAAGAATCTCTCATATCTGAAGTGCCCCTAACGAGGATACCTAATGAGGCAGTTTAACTCCCCAGTGAAATGTATGCCTTCAAACTGCATCAGCAGATCATTTCCTGGAGGCTGCCCATTGCTCTCCTCTCCATAGGTAGAGAGTTGGATGGAGAAGGCTCTGGTGCACCAGGACTCTGTTGCATGTTCCCGCTCCTTCTCCTGCCCTGCAGCTGTGTATTTCTGCTGGGGGGGTTCTGAAGATTTCTAATCATAGGAGCAGTGCAGGCAACCCAAGAATTGTTAGGTGAGACRGACTTTGCTGAGATATTTACTCCAGCTCTCTGCTCTCTCACTACTTCCATCAGCCCCACATTCCAACGTGTCCTATTCTCACCTCCTTTTCTCCCCATGAAGCTACTCCCTTTGCAACCACGAGCCCACAACACCCCATGCAACCTGCCTACCAGTGCAATCTCCACGGCTGTGCAAGGTGCTCAGCCTCTTCCCAATGTGGTTATCAGAAGCTATTTCCCTAGGGCAGAGTCTCTCAGCCAACAGTCAAGGAATGCAGAGGGGAGACAAGGGGTGTCCCTCCTCTTGCAAGGAAATGGACATGGAGCTGCATGGATCTGCTTTTCCCTGGGTAGACAGAGGTGTCCTCTCTTTAACCCAGAGAATTTTGTCCCAGGAAAGTCTGATGTTTATCCTGACTATTCCCACAGCACTAAGTGGATCGTCAGCACAGCAGGCCTAGCGTATATGATTTACTGTAGACATCTCTGGTGACACACAAAGAAATTTGTGCTCAGGAAACCTTTTGGACGTGCACAAGCCATGAATGCTCTACACAAATGCTAGGTCTCAAGGTTTCAGATGAAGTGGACTCACCTTGTTTGTGCAACAGAGCAAGTTTATTTCTGTTTGGCTAACATGGTGACTTGTTACCTGCCTCCAGGCTACAGAGGCACCTCTCTCCACTGTCTCCCTCAGTAACTCGAAGGTGAAACCAGCGGTCACCTGGCCACCTGGATCATCCAAACCTTCCTTGAACAAGTCTTCAAGGATGCACCTGCTTTACCTACATGAATGATCCCACAACAGTGAAGGCAAACTCTTAAATTCCTCGCTGCCTCAAGCCAAGACAACAGCACAGTTCACCAGACTTACCCTCAGGAGCAATTCTTTTTCAAGCAAATTGCTCTGGCACCTCTATGCCCAAGCAATGCAGCTCTGCTCTCTCCCTGTGCAGGATACTTGGCACCTAGACATCCTTCAGTCAGCACAATGTGAATAAACCACTACAAGTCCTACTGCATTCCTCAGCTGTGCAGTATTTCAAATAAAACCCGTGGTTCTTGTTAAATGACARCCATAGTCTTACAGAAAGATAAGGGAAAGAATTTACAACTTATTTAAGGAACTGCATGATCTGAGAGTCAAAAACAAGACCTGGCACCGTGAAAGCAATAGAAAGCAAGACACCTCAYGACATGCTAATTCTGACAGTGAGTGAGACAGCAATTTATACTGAATGTTCCCAGTTGARCTATTTACTCACTTGAGAAGCCATCCTGCTGTCCTGCTGCAGTCTCCACTTGGGAAGCACTAGCTAAAACTCAGCTCTAACCTGGGAAAGACCTCTGTGAACGAGGCGAGGAAACACTAAGCTTTCTTTGTACACCTGGTGCTCCTCCTCTCTGGCCCACTGCTTACACAAGCCACAGAATCTTCTCACCRTTACCTCTCGTTTGGACGAGATTGAATCTATTAGAAAAAGAGCCAAACCCAATTTAGAATTGCTGACTGATGGAAAATCCCCTGTAGCACTTGGTAAGTTCTTCAGTGGTTAACTGCATGTGAGTCCCTTTGCCAGACTGGCTCAAGCTGCTAGCTCGTGCTTTAGCTTTTGCCTGCTATAGGAGATGCTTTCTGTAGGTATATTCTTACATATTACAGTCAAATCACTTTTCATCTTCTCTCTGAGCACCAGTGTAGACGAGGCTGTTTTAATCTACTATATTGTATACTTTACAGTGCWCTAATAACTCAATGTATTTATCTAAGCCCTAGTTTTCCAACACACTTGTACAGAAGCAACAAAGCCGAATACACCCTTTTAGTAACCAGGACCAAACACAAGGTCAGCAGAACCTGCACCTAAGAAAACTTGCTGTGATGACAGGAGCCATTTGGCTCCATCCTGTCACTGGAAACTGAGTACAGCAGATTAACCTTCAGGACTTGCATTATGCAATTACTATTTCCCAAGACAGTCTCCCCCTTTTTTTTGCTTCATTCCAGCTATGAGGCAGCCCTAGTGCCTGTCCTCATCCTGAGGTTGTGTTCCCCTACCTTCGTATCACCGCTCACATGAGCAGTTCATAGAGGGCTACCCATAATTTCCCCACCACTGTCCTACATCCACTATGTTTTCCTTGCAGTTCAGATCATAACTGACTCCTGACCTCAACCTCTCACCCAGACCCTGTCGGTCACCAGCGCAAGCTGGATCACCAAAACTTCCCCATGGGCTGCAGAAGAGATTGCACAAAGTCTGTTAAAAACAAAATATGTTTAACTAGAAAAACAAGCTCAGAATGACTTGCATTGCTGTACCTGATTTATTCCAACAGCTTGATGAATGGTTGTTCTGCTTGTGGTGTTTTGTAAAGATACTAAGTCTAGAACGCTAAATATAAAACCAATCAACAGGATTGTCTACAGCAAACTAGACAGACACTGCTGGGAAGGAATGCTACAGACCATGCGGGCTTTCTAAGTAGAGCCCCATGGCAGACAGAGCAGTCTGCAAAATAATGGTAGGCATTCTGGTATAAAACAGAAGCTGTCACTCACCTGTTATGATATTTTATTAATATGAGGGRAAAAAAAAATCCTAAATTAAACTACCATTATCAGAAGATGTAAGGAACAAGATAATGGGTTCAGTTTGGGTTTTAAGGCCTCCAGAGTTTTTACAGGTTTCTGGTAAAGATTTTAGGCACTTACTGTCCATTCTCTAGGTCCTTCACATGGCACACAGAGGCCTCCACCACATCCTTGGGATTGTGGTAGGGATTGCTGGCAATGGGATGTTCCTCAAGATGATAATGCCGGGCAGTCCCATTGACTTTGTAAACAAGTGGGCTGGCTTTCCCATTGGGTGACATCTCTTCCTTGCTTCTCTCCTTCTCAGGTATCACAACTTCTATTTTCACTTCAACTGCAGGAACAAACAGAAATCTTCATTAAAATGGAGCAGGAGGCTTTGCTGTCATTCTGCCTCTCCTGGCTTCCTTGAAGTTCTAAAGGGGATGACACATGCCAGGAGAATTGACGTTTTTGTTGGCTTGCTTGGGAATTTAATCTCAAGCTTGACTTGATTACAGAGTCCATTATCCCACAGTTCTTCCTCTGTCATGCACCTTTGCATGCATAAAGTACCTCTTCTTGCAAGGAGGCATTAGTAACTGGTGGAAAACAATCCATCAGTCAAAACTCCTGCCTTTTTTAATGGAATACTGGTTTAGATAATCAGATGTCAGCAGTGCCTAGGCCTGTAGGGTTCAAACAGACATCAAAAAATTCTTGTATTGCTTGTTATCATAATTAACCAGAAGAGCCAAAGCTGTATGGTACAGATCAATTAATAAGAACTGATATTTAAAATGTTAACGTCGCATGCGACTGGAACATCGCATGGAGAGTTGCCCCCATCACTCTTCCTCATAGATTTTCCTCCTGTTCTTGCTTCTCTCCCAGAACACATCAGTTGCTTAGGGTCCTCCTGYGCTCACAGGTCACAGGTACCTCAGGGACCTGTGAGTCAGGATCAGAAGACCCATCAGAATAGCTTGTATGTGGGCCAGGAAGAACAGAGGGTGAGAGGGAAATGGGCAGTGCTGCAGACAGGCAGGGACAGCACCAACCTTTTTCCTCATCACTGGGGCAAATAGGAAATCTCTGGACAGCAGTGAGGACCTGGAAAGGAAGGGCTGGTGGGTGCCTCTCACATCAACAGAGCTGTGGGGATGGTGGGGATCAGGCYGAGCAACACGACGCTGACTAGGCCAGCACACGTGGAGGACTCTGGGCACAGAGAGCTGCTGAGGAAGTGCAGAGCTCAGCAACACGTGAGAGCTGCTCTGTACCGCTGAGGTGGGACTCGAACCGACTGCAAGCTGGCACAGACTGCTGAGATTCCAGCACGCCAACACCCTAAAAGTAGCACTGGCCAAAGGCACCTGGCTCTGATCTGTGTTATCCACAGAAATTTGTTTCATGGACCCTTTGAGGCTCTACACTACGTGTGCAGCTCTCTTCTCAACATGTCGGATCTGGCTTCTCACCCCAACACAGCAATCTGTGCAGTCAGGGAGGGAGATGGAAACCAGAGCCAGCGGGTCTCTGCCCTCTCACATGCCGCAACACCTGCGCAACCATTTCAGAATCAGTGATGAAGCAACGTGGCCAAYGTGACCTAAGCAGAGTGAAGACACAGCAACAGTAATAAAGACACTCAGAAACATTCCTCTGTTTGAGAACCAAGCCACACTTGAAAACAGAAAGTGCTTGGAGACTAGCAGGAGCAKGGGGAGACCGGAGACTGCAGTGGGATACACCAACAAACATGAAACAACTTCAACTTGTGTTACACGAAGTAAGAGGAACTTCAGCTATAGCAAGTGCAACTAAATAAAAGTCTTCATGACATGAGAAACACAAACTAAGGGAATTCCCCTGAGTATGCTGGATACAAGACTATGGGAGTCTGAAGGGAAAAGATAGGAAAATACCTAGGATGAAACTGGGGGATCAGGCCTTGAGGTCAGAAGACTTGGACAGAGGCCGAAGAGTCAAACCTGCTTTAGAGGGGCACATAGAAAGCAGAGGAGCCCCCACTGCGATGGGGCCACCTGGGCCAGAAAGGGGTAGGCTTGACAGTGAAGTAATGAAGTGTCTGGGTCTGCTGGAGCATGCTCCCTTCTCCTGGCAAGAGAAGTGTGGTGAAGGCATCTCAGCCTCTGCTCGGGCAGCACTTCCCAAGGGATGGACACACAGGAATTGCCAGATAGCACTGCTGGAGCAGTGGACATTCAAGCTCCCTGTGTGCATGCACTGGAGGGAAGACTGAACCTATGCCCTGCAGCTCTTGTACAGCGACGGATGACAACAGACTGGATGAAGGACTAGCAGAGGCAGATGGTSCACATGAGGTCTCATCTCAGTTCTTGCAGAAGCTGGAAAACTTGCTTCAAATGAAGAGGCTATTGCAGCACAAGAAAGGACAATTTCAGATTAATGAAAACTGCTCCAGAGACCTGGATTTTCTCTCACAGGGCTTCTATTTGAGGTTAAACAATTTACTTGCAAATGTCCAGAACTGGCCCTTAATGGTCCTGCTCATCAACAGGTTCCTTGGAGAATGACTAGATATCCTGAGTCTGAGCACTGCCTGGGTGGCCCGAAATGCCACGGGGATTGTGGACAATAACCGCACAGGCCAGGGCTTTGGAAAAATCCAGGTCTAGCATCTAAACATAGACATGCTAGATGACAGATTTGACTTTAAACACTGTATTTGGGGTGCACATCTATAAAACAAGGATAAAAGATCACTTTATCTCCTGGGGACTTCATGAAACTAAACTTATTAATATTTATTATAAACACCAGGGGAGCTTTATAGTGAGTCAGAAGATAATTACCAAGAGCTGGAGGAAGCATCCCAAGCAAATAGGATATTATTTAGCTTTGCCAGTCTTGTAAAGGTCATGAAGAGGAAAGGCTAGGCGGGAGATGAAAATTAAATCCCACAAAAGCAACGTATTAAAAAAAGCAAGGAGAAGGGAATAGTGTGACCCCAAAGAGCATGAAGAGCCCTGCTCACTGTGCTGCCACCTCAAGAGAAAAGGTCAAAGTACTTTCAGCTTCGCCTAYTGCAGCACAATATTTATTTCAAGTCCTAAAATGCTAGTTGCCTGGAAAAGAATCTAGAGGACGACAAATGCAAAGGAGAAAGAAGAAAAGTCATTCAATTGGGACAGGAGAAAAGCAGTGGCTGAGACATCCTAGCAGAGAAGGCAATCCAGGAGACACTGAGAGCAAGAGCAGACGACTCACCYGGCCTGACAGGTCTACGAGAGGGCACTGTGGTAGCAAACCCYTGAGCTAGCAAAGACAAGGAAAGATCTTTAGCTACAAGACAGAAATGTAAGCAGAAAAGTGCAATCCACTAGARGAATGACAGCGCCTCCATCCTTAATCTGAGAACAGAAGGCAACCTGCAGGACCTGCTGGGAACACGYGGCAAAAATTCAACTAGCAGAAGCCACTATGTTTCACTATTGCATTTTTTTTTCTTGACAATCTGTTTCCACAAAAAGATAATAGTAAATTTTTCCTTAAACTAGTCATAATCCTCCYCATCTTTAGGTTTTGTCCAGCGATAACCACAATCTCTGCATAAACTGACATTCACAACACTGCTTGGTGGAAACAGGAAATACTTTCACCACGCACATTCCTCAGGAATAGGGGTGCRCGCTCCCACTTTCTGCCTAAGCTGCTTTGGAGGCAGTGGGGAGGAATCTCCCCTTGTGGACACCAGGCAATGCCCGCTCAGCAAGCAGCGACAGCAGCAACTTGTCCACAGCCCGGAGCACATCTCCATCCCTGCGCTTGGGCCCCCATATCTGCCATCCCTCAAGATCCTTCAACTCATCAGTCCAGCTCCCCAAAGGGAGATCTCCCAACATGTGAGGAGGAACCTCGGGCAACGCGAAGGCTAGGAGAGGAGAAGGGGTCAACCACACAAGAGCCCGCTATTTCTCCTGAGCCAAAGGCTGATACATCGCCCAGGATTATCATGTCTTCTGATGCACCTGTGAAGATTCACTGCTGATGTGTGGCCATGCCTGCCTCCCAAAACATTGCAGATGACTCCAGGGAAAGCAGAACAGCAGCAGAAAGGCATGATGGCCAAAAGGTCATGGTGCAAGCCAAGGCAAGCAGCAAGGAGGAACTCTACAAAATGAGCCCCCTGTCCAAGAGGTGGCATTTGGAGTAGCATCCTGCAAGGCGGTGACACCCTGCAGGCAGCCTGGGAGGAGGAGGACACTCGGGAGTGGATGAGGAGCCTWCCTCCCCCATGAAGTGACCTCATAGTGGTCAGAGGACCAATGATGAGGATGACAAACATAAGAGGACGGAAAGGGAAATCAATCAGTGCCCAGTGGGCATAAAATAGACACACAAAACCCAATGTCAAATGAGGGTGCCAGAGGTTGGGAGGAGGAGATGTCGTCACTGCAGTGACGGCTGCGAGGCGCACRGCACCGGTGAGGAGCCGGTGCTCTGCCGCAGAGGGTGGCCATCCTTTTCCAAGCCCATCTCCGTGCCGCCCTGCGCGCTCTGTCCCCSCATGAGGGGCTGCACGAGGGGCTGCGCGGGCTCCCCTGGCGCCRGCTCTGCCCCTGGGGACACGCAGCCGGTCTCCTCTTCAAGAGGAAGCTGCTTTTTCCCTCCCCTGGGAGTGGAAAGGGCTGAAGTTCGCAGCTCCGAGGGCTGCTCGCTGCGATGCTTGCACCGCGATGCCTTCCACGGCCGCCAGCAGCTGCTGCCCTTCGGCCCCAGCACGGCGCCCGCCGTGGAACCCGCTGCCGAGAGAGGTCAGAGCCCAGTGCTGTAACGTGCTTTAAAGCAGATTTCACTTGACAATGATGTTTTTAATCATGCCTGGTTAGACTGGGCAAATGAACCCCCCTGGGCACGTACCTGGGCTCCCAGAGAGCCGCAGACGCAACTTCCCTGCTCTCCACAGCCTGGCAGCGTGGGAGAGGGAACGGCTTTCTGCTGAAGCTGCGAATCCTGGCACCGAAACCAGGCARAGGCAGGATACGCTCTGATCTCCTGAAGCACTTTTCTGTGTACCCATCATCAGGGGTACACACGGGTGCACCAAAGGAAGGGGCAGCAGACGTGAACTTCTGCTGCGTTATTGTGTCCGAGCTGCGGCAGCTACTGCAAATACACCCAGCTCTGCACGCTGAGAACAAGAAAACCTTTGCTGCGAGCAAATTTCTTCCTCGAGCTCTACCCAAGCTTTGGTGATGCAACAYGGCTCTCAGAGGGTGGCCAGCAAAATGGCTGTTTTTAATAAGCAATGTTTTCCTWAAACATCTGGAATCCAGACATGGATTTTGCAGGACACAATTATGGAATATAATCAACATCAATTTATTCCACTTGCAGTCAAAGAAGCACGGGAATCATTTGATGTGATTAGATGCTTGATTGGGGAACTATCCAAAGACAGCCTTAAGGAAATGCAACCGTGCTAAGAGCGGATTGCAGACATAGTGCGTCACAGGCGAGACTGGCGCCGTTAAAAAGCCAGCATCAAAACAGGGCATCTTGGTTTGCATCAAAATGAAGCGCCCTTGAGCAGCACCTTCCTCTGAGTCTGCCCAAGATGCCACCAAGTCATGGTGTCACTGTCATAGGACATCACTGCACACGAAGGAACCAGGCTGGGACTGGCAAAYCCAGTGGATTCAAGCCCTAGTAATGATGTTGCTGCTGGTAAATGCCTTGTGCATGGAACAAACACCCAAAGCTGTCACTTGAGCTGTTATTCTCAACAGTTTTCAAACTATGCTTGAATTAGGTAATTCCTACCCTTGGGTGTAGGGGTCTCCATGAATAAAGATGAAAAAAAAATCAAAAAGCATAAATTCTTATCCCTCCTCCCATTTCAGCCCCACTTGTCCCCTGTTGTCTCTGTGCAGGGCAGCTCCTACTCCTCTCTCCCTGACCCGCTGCCCTGGCTCCGCTCTGTACCACCAGCATCCCTTGCCTCCTCCTCCTCCTCCTCATGTGGGGTGGCTCTCTGGCCAAGGACCTGCAACCCCATGTGCCGATCCCTTCTGGAACCCAGGGCTCGGTGCACCTGAGTTTATGCAGGAATCTGTCTCTATTCTGATCAGGAAAATGAGGCTTACATGWAAGACATCTATAAAAACAAGTTTAACTTTCCAAGTCACCTGGCGTGAGGCAGCCGCGCTCAACACRCTCCTTTGCTAGTCTTCAATAACCCACTAAAAGAGGTTTCATAGCTTAAAAAGTGAATTGTTTGGGACATATTAGGCACATGCATTTGAATCTGCTGCTGTCTGTGTGCATATGTGCGCATTTAGGCACATACATATATAGGAAGCACATTAGCAGCAGGTCAGCAGTGCAAGTATTTTATAAGAATATGCAAAACCAGGTTAGGTTATTTTATTTGCAGATGCTAATACTGTACAGCAATGTGCATCTCACACAGCCCTGACAACTCTCAGTCTTTGGAAACCCTGAGTGAGGTCTCAAATAGAATAGYCCAGTGCTGCTGGGCTACCTAGACACACGTCCAGAAACCTCGTCCCGACACTGGGCAGCCCCTTCTGTATCCCAACTGGCTCTCTGTTTCCCTTCACGCTACAAACATGATGTTTTCATGTGTTTTCTCCTACAGCTGGTAATCATTAAAACCTGGGGGCTGCTCATTAAAACTCCATTATACCTCAGGCAAATTAATTCATTCTTAAACATTATTCCTTTCAATCTCTTGCCTGGGACAATGCAAAGCCACTTTTAGCCCTGTACCTGAGCCCTGAGGTTGCAGCCTAGTGAGTGGGAGAAGCTGTGAGCAACCACCCCAGGCTGGTGGATAGAGATGTTCACTGGGAGAAGGGTGCCTGGGTGCCCAGTGCTGCTCCAGGGACCTCCGTATCCAAGAATGGTTTCATGCAGAATTTGTAACTTGAGCCCCAGGAAGCACCTGGGACAACCAAACAAAATCAAAGGAAACTCAATTCCAACAGAAACATATTCCAAAATAAAATTATTTTTTGCACCCAGTATAGAAAAAAATGTCACTGTGGGCCATATTTGGGATCTCTCCCTTCTCCCTGCCAGGATTCCACAGTCCTGACATCTTTCAGGTCCACTCAAAGTGCATGACCCACAAGAGGTCCCTCAGAAGTCCCATAACAGTCCTCATCTTTAGTCAGTTAGTTACATTGACCCTTAAAATCTAAATGACAACTACTTTTAGTGGCCTGAAAGAGACCGAGAAGCATTTCTTATTAAAAAAATGGTGAAGTTGATGGAAAAAAATGGAGGTCAAATGTACCTGCTTCTGCCCTGTCTTTCCAGATGCCAATTTCAGCAAAGAATGGACTCACAAGAAAACGGAGTCTGGAAGGTCACAGGGTCTGCCAACCAAGTCATGACCGCCCTGGTGGAGCAAAGCTCAGAAGGATTCACAAACCTCTTGAGGCAACATGTATGTTGCCACATACACACACAAATATATATATATATATATACACATTATATATATATATATATACACACATTTTTTATATATATATAAAAACTGCAAGGAACAAGATCCACATTCCCTGCTTACAGCCAGACACGTTCTTATGCTCAGATATATTTGGAAAGGCCATATGGGCCATAGACCACTGTTTACCCTGTCTAGTGGTCAAACTCTAACCCTAGAGAAAAGTGCACAGAAAAATAATTAAACGTATTTCACAGGCCCATCTTCTAATTCTGGGATTTCCACTGCAGTGTTTATACTGCATTCCTGTAAACCACAGCTCTCCATTTGCAGGTTTTACAAATTTCACCTAATTTTACATTCTGGAAGGATAACATGCCCCAGACAACCTTAACTACACCAGAAGGAGGACTTTTGGTAATGAATAGTCTGTGAACTGCTCTGAACAGCCTCTAGAAAAGAGATCAGTAATGAAAGAAGTTGCAGGAAGGCCAGCAAGCAATCACAGCAGCTAACACAGAATAGTCTCCTATGCGGGTGCTGGTGCACGACGAGCCCCTGCACCTAAAACCTTGGCATGCACTGCCTCTCCTGCTGGAACGGAGCTGTGATCCCAACACAGTGTGCCAGATGGCAACGCAAACTTCTTCACGTATACACCATGCACCCTGATGAAAATGGGAAAAAAAAATATGCACAGATTGAGAATGAGGCCTTCAGAATAGCGCCTGGACTCGTGATTGCACCACCAGAGAGAACAAAAGATGATGCCAGTACTTGAAAATCAGCTTTGAACTAAACGCTTAAATATCAGAACAGGGTAGGGTTCTGCAGCAACAGTCACACTTGTACTGGTTATCTGTTCAGCAGAAGGTCCTTCTAGAATGCAGTAACATGTGTGCGATTTCAAGGTTACCTTGAGAAATGCAGAGGATATTCAGAGAGACCGAGGGTCTCTCTTGGAACAACAAGATGGAAGCAGATTAGAACCTTACACAYGTCTTTTGAACATAACTGAGTAAGTTAAGGCCTATTGACCTCATTGACATCTAAAATATTCCCTTCACATCAAGACCTTGTTGAGAGAGATGATGGCTCCATGTGGCCCCTGCCCATCCTTCTCATTTGTACAGGGAGACAGAAGGATTTTAAGAAATAGCCATGTCCACTATTTAGCCTTACAGTTTACTGTTCCTGCAAGAAAAGTAAATGGCAAATATTACAAAAAGGTTGTGAAACCTCTTGGCCAGAGCGGGCAGTAGCTGCAAATGCATCTCTGTTTATCTTMCTGCATTTGGAAGTTTTATAATCACGGAGATGAAGCACTTCCAGCCAATGGTGTGCAAACAAGGCGCTGGGGAAAGGCTTGTCAAAAGCTTTTGAAAAGCACTAATCAAAAGCAGAGTTACAGACAGGGTGTTACATTGCAGTAGGGCATTTTCAGGCATTTGCCTGCTCTGCAAATACAGCTCTACATGAAAATATGCGCTACAGGAAATGTGCCTGCGGAGCTCTTATTCCTGCACCGGCCTAAGATAAAACAGACTTTTGCTGACAGTATACAAAGTAAAAAGGAACTGCCAGGRGAGTTTGCTACAGGTTTAGTCAGTGATGACATTTATTCCTGGATGTGTTTTCACTCCCTAAATACTTCAAACAAGGACATAAAGCAGTGTGGCTTTTCCATAAAGGAAAACTTGTAGTTCAGGTATTTGGCCACAGCATCCCATGCATCGGGGCACTATTATAACTAGCAAAATCACCACAGGATGGGTGAACATCCCAGAAGCCCAACTTTCCTTTCTTCTTTGTGTCTCAGAAACCACCCTGTGTCCCAGACTCAAAGACAGCTTGGGTGCCAGGGCCTTGCCAAGAAGGGGCAGCCCAGAGGACCCCATTTGTTGGGTACCTGAGGCCTTGCAAACCTCACCTGGGTCGCACCACCAAACCTACTGGGTCTCTGAGCCTGTCCTGAGAGGACATGCCAAGAGGAAGAGCCCAGAACGGGAGCAGGGAGCCCATAGGGCAGAGCTGTAAGGAGGGGACGTCTGAAGTACACTGCAGGGGTCTGCAGAAGGGAGCGCCCCTGAGATCCAGGTGCCCAAGGCCAAAGCAACCAGGTAGATGGTCTTTCTCCCTTCCAACAGGGGCAAAATTCAGGACTTGTCAGTGACTGCAAAGTCACGGCATCAAGAAGGCTCTTGAGAAAGAGTTACYAGTATCTGCACTAGGGTAGATATCACACAAACTCATGCCAGAGCATGAGGGAACCAGTTACCTCCCTGAGAACTGAGAAGAGGCAGAAAGTGGCACCCAAACAGAAGCAGGAAAGGTCATTAAGTGGATCAAGCCACAGGCCAGGAGCTGTGTGAGAGGGAGAGGAGGCTCAGACACGGGAGGGAGTGCAGCAAATATTGCAGGGAGGTTGGGGAAGATCACGCACGGCTTCTCTGGATGGGGCTGCAAAGCAGTGCTGGGAATCACAGCAGATGAGACACTGAGGACAAATTAAGTGGGAAATGCGCTTATTATTTTGGATTTGAGTTCAGAACAGCTTTGAAGAGAACGCTTGCCCTTGACTCGTAGCGTGACTGAGTCCCCTGCCCAGCTTGCTTTCCTCCYGCTGCGCACTGTGGCTCCAGTTCACTGCATCTCGTCCCCCAAAAGCTCCCCTAAAGCCCTTGCCCAATTCCTTGCATGTGAGTGAATGTGCAAAGGAATTCTGGGGGGATTAAGAGGTCCGTAATCCTCCCCGCRGGAGCCGAGAATTAACATTCTCCACGGGCGGCTCCCGCGGAGACCTCCGCATGGCTGACCTACTTCAGTCTGCGGCTGCGGAGCTGCCRGGCGGCAGGAGCAGAGCGCCGGGGAGCACTCACCGGGCTTGGGCTTGGAGAAGCATCCTCCCATGGCGAGGCAAGCAGGCGGAGCGGAGCAGCAGGACCGCGGCGCGCGGCAGAGACGAGCAGCGGCCAACGTGCCAGGCGAGAGGTGCCGCGGGCACTGGCTGGGCGAGCAGGTCAGAGAGGGCGCGGGCACATCCCCTCATCACCAGCTGCCGCCTCATGCCATCCTGGATGGTCCTGGAGGTCTTCCTTCACAACCTGGGGGTGACAGAACAGCTTCATGAGAACTGACATCTGCAGGAAATCTGTGTCTCACAAAGTGGGTTGAGAAAGGCAGTAACCCAGTTGTTGCTCCAAGCAGCTGCACATGTGAGTTGAGGACCACCACCACCTGAGATGCAGGAAACACAGGGGCAAGTTAGAGCGAGCTCACAGTATCACCCAGTAGGTGATACTGGCAGAGACCTCTGGGGATGAGGTGCTTTAACTCTCCTGCTCTAGCAGGGTTAGCTACAGCAGGTTACCCAGCACAATATCTAATTGGGGGTTGAGTATCTCCAAGGATGAAGACTCCACAACTTCAGGACTACCAGGTCCTTCTCTGCAATGTTGCTTCCCAGCTGCTTGACCTCCAACACATACTGCTGCATGGGGTTTTTCCTCCCCAGATACAGGACACTGCATTTTCCTTTGATAAGGTTCATGAAATTCCTCTCCATCCACTTCTCCAGTCTGTTGAGGTCGCTTTGAATATCAGCAAAACCATTTGGTGCATCAGCCACTCCTCCTCCAATGACTCCAACTCTAAGCCTACAAATATCATGCCTGTGTTTGCAAATTATTTAATTCACTGGGAGCCCTGGGGCCCTCAGTTTCAAGAGAAATGATCCTTCTCACACTATGGCATTAAGTTCTCTCCCACAACTTCTGCCTGTATCTCTCCCATAATCTCACACTRGCCTGAGATGTGGTTCCAAGTGATCACTCCCCAGCAGCTAAAGCCTCATGGTTCCCATCCTTGCTTTCCAGGAGAGGTAGCTTTCAACCTGCCCAAGTGATTGGAAACAGGCCTTTTGGAGCAACTTTTCCAGGCACAAGCAGGGCAGTAGCTTTCCCGTAACCCTGCTAGAGAAACAGCATCTAACTTGGTTCTCGCTCAGCATAGACAACGTCAGGGCATGGGATGGAGGAATAGATCAATAGATCAATAGATGAAAGGGTAACCGCCAAGTGTCACCTAGAAAACATGACGCCAAGGTCACAGTTCACAGAGCTGCTGGTAAATGCAATTTTAATCCTAAACACTTAAAATTACAACACTCATATCATCCATGCACAGATTTAATAAGGTTCCACAGCTTTGCCTTTGGGAGTTAAATCTTTAAGCACTTAGGCCTCAGTCCAAATATGATGATTAAACCATAAATACACTATTTCAGAGAGAGTTTTGGGGGAGGAGTTTATCTGGGTTTTTTTTGGGTTTTTTTTGTTTGTTTGTTTTTTTGTTTGTTTTTAGTATTAAATGATAGGAAAAAGCTGCTTCACCGCTTGTTCCTGAAAGTTCTTCTTCCAATAACACTTACCCTTGCAGAAATCCCATTCATTTTGGAATAACTTTTCATTCAAGAAAAGATTTTCAGCACCAGGTCATTTGCATTAAAAAACAAGTCAAGATCTTTTAATTTTAAGTAGCCTGGGCAAACGGCGCACATCAAACCAGATTCATCTCATCAGCTTTGAATGACGTTGGTCTCAGATTTTGGTACAGACCAAAATCTGTACAATACAAAATTTGGTACAGGCTGTGATAAGCCTGAAAACAGCACTGATTTCTGCTGATGCACCCAGTTGGCAATAAAAAACACATCATTCAATATGACTTCAAACATATCAAAAAGGAGATGATATTACCCATTTACACCTGTCCTTGAACCAATTTACCATGGTTTTGCTGTSTATTTTTCCACAAAAGCTCCTAGTCTGGGGTAAAATTACTTTTCAAAGAACATCTTTACCTAGGTACGTTATATTTCTCCTTAATTTCGATCACAGAAGTGTCTAAACACCTTTCAAATCAGAATAAAGGAAAAACAAGAATTGCAAGAATTGTGACTTCTCCCTGAAGAAYGAACACTTGGCAATGTTATGAAACAAAAAATATATAAAAAAACCCCAGCCATTTGCCAGAGATGAACCTGTCGGTGATAAGGATGGCTGCTGAGATTAACAAACTCTAACCACTCATGTTTGAATAGGTGACACGTCAGAAACAAGTGCCCTTCGTTATCACCAAGCTAGGCAATTTGCACGGTTATCTCTGCAAGATAAGACAATAAGAGAGCACTCTGCAGGACATGCCCTGGCAGGGAGCTTTCCAGCCTGCACCCTCGCTCGGCTGCGTTAAGCAGCAGGAGCCACAAAGAAGCTCCAGGGAGTCCTGCCCACATGGGCACTTATCCCGCGGCTCCAGCGCTGAAAGCCACGGGGATGCAGCAGTGTCCACGTACGGTCCAGGACCAGCATGTCCAGTCCAAGCTCCATACTGCACCATGTAGGGTGGCTGGCAGTTTCTCCGCAGGTCCTACTATGCCTTGGAGACACGGTCACCTCCACCACATCTCATCCCTACATAATCCACAACGACAYGTAGTCTGAGCAAGACCCTACATCTTCTTTACCTCTAGACTACCTGCAAACATCACAAGCCTGTCCTTTAGTTAAGCAAGCATGTGGAACACCAGGCACGGCTGTCCTATTTAAGCTGTATCCCTCCCAAACATACACGTTCACCCCTGYACGCCTGCCTACTTGCCTCCTGCTGTGTATTCTGCTGTGTATCTCTGGTGTACTTGGCCTGACTCATGTGAAGTCCCAGGTGTACTTCAGGAGCATCTTCAATACCTAGAACATGAGGAATATGTAAAAGAGACTGCAGAGAAGCAGGCAAAAAATGCATTGCCAATTGGCACAAAGCAGATWTGTGCCATTATCAGATATATCTGAAATATTAACAGGACTTAAAAAAAATCTGGTGGCAGATCTGGTGGCAGATCTACCAACCAAGCGCACTGGCAAAGGTAGAAGGTGAAGTGGAGCAGGGAAGAGGCAGTTCCCTCCAGAGCAAGGATGAGAACATCCAAGAAGAGCAGCACRCCGCTATTTGTGCGAGAGCAAATGTGAGCAATGCCAAGCTAGGAGGTGGGGGAATGCAAAGCAAGAATTGAGCATAACAGGGGAAAACGTAATAGAGGAGTCAAATTAATCAAAGAAACTTTGCACAGGCCTTTGCTGAAACATGCAGGAAGAAAGGGGAATATGTTTTCTATCACAAGCAAAACGAGTCTGAGCCATCAAGTTATCCGAGATACAGGACAATAATTTAAAGTGAAACCCTAAAAATATACATTACATAAGGGCTGGCAAAAAGAGGAGGCAGGAAGTGAGTGCCAAAGGAAGGCCCCGCTGACAGCCAGCATGGGACCAGCCATGCCGGGGGCCTCTGCACTCAGCAGAGCCCAGAGGGAGCAACACAGCTCCCCRGGCAAGCTGTGCGATGCGGGCAGAACTGTGGGTCCCTTATTTGCCTCAGTGCAAGGAGCTCAGCTGCCCTCCCGCAGGACCGCCCTGGGGCTTGTTTCTAGCTGGCCTGGCTGGTTTTATGGGATGCGACCTGAGCTCCTGCCCATGGGCATCATTGCTCACTTGGTCTTCAGAGCTGGCCATAAAAAACCTCAAGTCAACTTCCTTTTCTAATGCGCCGACCAAGCGGATAAAAAAACATCTAGCTCCACACAGTCTCGGACCCAGCAAGCACATATAAAGGTTTCAAAAAATCACGAGACCAAACTCGTTGTGGACATGTTTCAGCCTGCTACACAAGACCAACTAACAAGACATATAGAGATCACGTCACCACTAGCGATACACAGAAGTATAGATCTGGAATCAGCATGATGCAATCCCACAGGAAATCATGGTCATAACCTCCTCTCTATTAGGAAAATAAACTTATATAGAGCATCAYGAAACGGTAGCTCACTGCAGGATCATCCATGAAACCTTGACAACTTTTAAATGGCAATGAACCAACCTAGAAAAGATAAAGCAACAGATACTCTTGCCTCAGTAAATCACTTTCTAAACTGCTCACTGAACAAAAAAACAAGTTTTGATAGAACAGTGATAGAACCCACTGCACTATCAGTGTGTTGTCTAAGCCTCAGAAAGACTGATGATCCTGGTTCCTCTTCTGTCTGGGACTCCTTGGAAGACGCAGTTRGCAATCCCAAGTGACAGCAATGACAGTGTTTTCACTTCCAGAAAAGTGGAGGAAGGTCAACATCTCCTAGCTCTAGGTCTCAGTTCTCAGTCCTGTCTGCTGAGCTGACTCAGAGAGGCCAAGGGGAGCAGGCTTGAAGGGCTGGTTCTTGTACTTGTGCCATGCTGGCCCGTGCATGTCTCCGGTGGGAAATGGAAAGGACATCTCCTGCTGCTGCCAGCTGCCATTCCTCTGGGAGCAGAGACCAGAGGAGAGCCCAGGCATTTCCTGATGGGATGACCATGGGCTGAATCTCATACCTCAGAGGACCACAAAGTAGTGTTATTGCATAGCCACAGGGTCATGGAAGAATTTAGGATTGAAGAAACTTCCTGAGGAACGTGTGATGCAATTCCTAACCCACACAGGTTGAAATTCAAAATGCAATTTAGCTTAAACCCTGCTTTAGGCTTTGGAGAATGGACCCAATGCCTTGGTGAGATGAAAAAAAGGTCCCAAAAGGTACCAAGCCTTTTCACAAGTTTATCGGTGGCAAAAGTTGAGACTCAATGCCCTGCAAAGAACAAGCAAATGTATTTGCAGCAGTTCAAGACTTATTCAGAGCTCCCATCCACCTCATTTCCAGAGCCAAATGCTGTATTAGTAAGAAACGGATGTAAACATATCCAAAATGGTTATCAGTGTCACATGGCTCATCCACCACCGGGAGCACTAAGTAGTCTCCAGCAGGGCCCAGGAAGGACTTCTTCCCCCAGGTATATCAAATCTGTGAGCTTTTTTTTTTGGTTTTTGGTTGCTATTGTTGTCTCTCTCCTTTTTTTTTTTTTGTCATTCTCTGAAGTCCCTAAGGCAGCTCCAAGTCAAGGGAAGTAAGAGGCCAGGCGGTTCTGGTGCCACGGGGTTCTGGTGCCATGGTTCTGGTCTCCTCAGGGCTGGCAGGGAGGCAGGTCTTGCTCACATGTGCAGGGAAT